TTCAACAACTCAACCAACCATTCATTCAAATAATCCTCTTAAGAAAACTATTACAGCTTCAGCCTTAAACTTTCTTCAACAGCCTTCAAATTCTCATCCTCAAGCCTGCTAGTTTTTCTCTTCTTCTTACTTACAGCCCTTGCAGCCTCCGCAACTGGAATTGGTCGTTTCGAAGGCTTGAATGAATCTTTTTTAGGCTTAAACCCCTTCACTTTTTGGACCGGTACATCATCTATACCAAGATAACAAAAACAAACTACAATCAATGACAGATATATGTAAAATCATTCTCCTCAAAAAAATGAATATATCAAAACACAAAACTCTAAACAATTAAAAACTTACTGTCACCGTTAGAAGACGTGCTTGTTCCAGCAGGTTCAGTAATCGATAGGGCTTCACACTTTTTGATCAAATCAGTCATGAAGGCCATGGCTGATTTATACAAATCATCATCCAATGCAACCCTGCTGATCATTGATGCAGAAACAGCTAACAGATTGAAAAGACGAGAACAGTATTTCGATGGACTATCAGTAGACGGAACTTCAAAAGAAAAGTTCCCTCCAGTTTTCGCTGCCCTTGTCCACCGCTTCAAAATCAAACTGTTAGGAATGTGTTGGAACTTCAGATTGCATGTTGTAGACCACAACATATCATATCCCTTAATTTGATGCTTACAGATCATACCACTTGACTCCCACTTACGGCACGAACACTTGATTTCACCGGTTTCAAAATCAACCTTCAACACCCTACTATCCAACCTTGTAAGGTCATCCTCCAATATGAAGACATCAAACAGTCCTACATGTCCTTCTGGTTCTATCTCCGTATTGGAAAAAATATTATACGCAAGAGATTCCTTGTACTGATCCAGGAAAAACTTGAATATCTTCGGCGTATACACATTGGCAACTTGCTTCACAATAGGGCTAGTAGAAAACCGAGAATCAGCCAACATAAGGCGTAGTACTCTTCTTGTTCTTTAGCATCCCTCTTATTATCAAGCATCCTCTCAAAGTGCACAAAGAACCTACTAACGCTAAACTCTGACTGCAAGTAATGTCGAATATTACTATTGCAGCACTCACTTAGCTGGGTACTCTTCATTCCCGCACCAAAATGACAATTCACCCAGGCTGAAGACCACTTCGTCCTGACTTTGTAAATGCCCTGTAACCAACTGTGTCCCAAAGGTCCCTTCCCAGGAAAACACTTCTCAATCATCTTCTTCCAATTATACTCAAAATCATCCTCATCATCAGCATTATACATCAAATAACTAAGCTCACGAAGGAAGTCAGAGTCACACAAACTTCCCAGATTAACAACTGCATTCTGAGCAATATGCCATGTACACAACCCATGAAAACAATATGGGAAAACAGACCTTATACCAGCAGCAATTGCAGCAGCCTGGTCAGTAAACATTGATAACGGTCTCACACCTCCCATGCATTTCAAAAACTGATCGAAAAGCCATTCAAATGTTGTCGTTGTTTCATCATATAGAAGAGCAGCTGCAAAGACAGTCAGTTGGTGATGATTGTTGAAACCAACAAACAAAGCTACAAAAACATAACAAAAATGTGAGTAAAAACAATTCTACCAACACATACCATGTGGTAAAAGGTACGAATAACAATAATACCAACCCATACCATATGGTAAAGACTCATACCATGTGGTAAAGACTTATAAGAACAAAAAAAACCTTGTTACCAACCCATACCATATGGTAAAAGACTTTTAAGAACAAAATAACCTTGTTACCAACCCATACCATATGGTAAAAGACTTTTAAGAACAAAATAACCTTGTTACCAACCCATACCATATGGTAAAAGACTTTTAAGAACAAAAACACAATGCATACCAGCCCATACCATATAGTACAAACTTCTAACAACCCAAAAACCACCTCAAATAACCTTGTTACCAACACATACCATATGGTAAAATACTTTTAAGAACAAAAAAGCAATCCATACCAACCCATACCATATGGTACAGACTTGTAAGAACAAAAAAAAAACATGATACATAATGATAATAATAATAATCATACAAACTAACAAAGACAATAATAAACAACAAACTAGAAAACATACCTAGTGCCCGATACTCTTTGTTAGTCCGGTAAGTAGTATCAAAACTAATTGAATCACCAAAATAATGATAATCCATCCTCATCTTCCCATCTGCCCAAAAAATACTAGCAATGTTCTCTTCAACATCAACCTCCACCTCATGAAAGAACCCAGGATCCAGCTGTGCTTGACGTCTAAAGTATTCAAGCAATGCAGTCGCATCACCATACTCCATTGATAACGTCCTAACCGTTCGCAGATGATTCTTCAAATCATTCTTTGTGAACCCAACAAACTTCCGACCACCACCAGCCCTACTAATTGCATTATACGAAGAAGTCACACCAATACCAACAGCATCATTCACCTCTGCCAACATCTTATACACAGGAGCCATTCGTCTGCTGGATCTCACATAGTGACGCAGAGACTCAGGAATCATGTCATGGTTGTGCACATTACACCAACGATAGATCTTGTAGCATTTAAACTCTTTAAACCACCTCAGTCGTATATAAGCACCATTACATCCACCCCTGAGTTCTGGAACATTACGAACACGAACTGTCGTATCAACAACACCTGCATTATCAGGGTTATTCTCGCTACCTCTTTTCCAACCTTCCTTATTGCAACAATACTTGATATAATATACAGCTGAAGAACCACCATTGAGCTTCGGACACGCTGATTGGTTATAAATCCTCACACCAAAACCTTCATGATTCCCATAATCAACATAAAAATTATATGCATCATCTGGTGTATTGAACTCTAAGTCCTTCCAAGAATCACGAACAGTAGGATCTATACCATTGAAACCTACAAACATTATGAAACAACATATTAAATGGATTCCACACCACAACAGTATGAAATCTCAATGTATACCAATAATTACAGCCATGATACAAGAGTTACCACCATGGTATGGCATGGTAAAATCAAATTACCACACTATACCATATGGTATGGCATGGTAAAATCAAATTACCACACTATACCATATGCTATGGCATGGTAAAATCAATTATCACACAGAACCCTCACATTTAACTTCCTAATTACCACATTTTACCACATGTTAATGTACTGTAAAATCAATTACCACATGATAAGGCATGGTAAAATCAAATTACCACACTATACCATATGGTATGGCATGGTAAAATCAATTATCACACAGGATCCTCACATTTAACTTCCTAATTACCACATTTTACCACATGGTAATGTACTGTAAAATCAATTACCACATGATAAGGCATGGTAAAATCAAATTACCACACTATACCATATGGTATGGCATGGTAAAATCAATTATCACACAGGATCCTCACATTTAATTTCCTAATTACCACATTTTATCACATGGTAATGTACTGTAAAATCAATTACCACATAATAAGGCATGGTAAAATCAAATTACCACACTATACCATATGGTATGACATGGTAAAATCAATTATCACACAGAACCATCACATTTAACTTCCTAATTACCACATTTTACCACATGGTAATGTACTGTATAATCAATTACCACATGATAAGGCATGGTAAAATCAAATTACGACACTATACAAACTTCAATAAACAAACAAATTTGTATATCTTACCTCCTGATTCACCAGAGTTAGCTGAATGATCAAATCCAAGATCGATAGATGAAGAAGCAATTCCAACAGCACTAGATGAAGAACCAGATCCTACAACGCTGGTTGAAGAACCAGATCTATCAATTGGAACAACATCGCCACAATTTACGTAACTCATCTCACCAGAATACTACAAAAACACCAAAACACAAAGAACATAACACATGAACAAGCTCGATTAGCTAAACATAAACAAGCTCGACTAGCAGCAATGAAAAACCTCCAACGAAACCAGAGATCAACAGAAAACTCGATTAGCTAAACAGGAAGAATAAAAAAAACTAATATCTAACCTCGTCGTCGATCAATTATGGAGAATCACAAAAGATTCGCCGTCCCCTGTTTCGCAGCAGCTGCTCGCAGTTTCTCTCTACAAAAACCGAATCCAACTCGCGCACACGTCGATCGATTATGGAGAATCAGAAAGCTCGATTCGAAGCTGCTGTTCGCAGTTTCTATCGCCGTTGATCAACCATGGAGAATCGCCGTCGTTGTTTCTCAGCTGCTGCTCCCCTGCTCGCAATTTCTCTCTCCAAAATCCGAATCCAACTCGCGCACACGTCGATCAATTATGGAGACCGAGAATCAGAAAGCTCGATTCGAAGCTGCTGCTCGCAGTTTCTATCGCCGTCGATTAACCATGGAGAATCGCCGTCCTTGTTTCTCAGCTGCTGCTCCCCTGCTCGTAGTTGAGACTCTCCAAAATCCGAATCCAACTCGCGCACAGAAAGATTCGCAACGGACAAAAGGGGAAACTCATTAATTCAAATAACGGACAAAAATGCCCCTGACCATCCCGCTTCAATGACAGCCACACGATCCGTCCGCCCCAGATCAACGGTTCCTAGGTGGTTACTCACGGGTGAGTAACAAAGGGTTACTCACCCTATCCTAAGCCAAGCCCATGGAATAACTCCTACACGGCCCGAAGCATATTCCTTTCTCCGTGCACTCACGTACCCACCTCCAACGCTAGCGATTGACTCCCACTCTCCAACTCATAATCATCCAACCAACCCAAGCTCATAGCGTGCAGTACAATGAGGAAAACCCGCGCGTGGGTTTGAAACTTGTTCTCCGCTGTAATCAGCGGTGAAAAAACAGCGGCTAATACAACGATCTGATCCCTAATTAATTAGAGAAAAAAATCCGGCGGGCTTCCTTTAATCCCTTCTTCTTCTCCAAGGCAAAAATAAATAAACAATAAACAAAATCATATAAAAAAGAAACCCTCTCTCACACGTGGCTCTCCGCTCCTTAGCTTTTAAACCCTCTTTTCATCTGTATATATAACCGCTCCCCTTTCTCCACTGTCTCTCACATACTCGCAAAAAACCTCCATCCATTTTCTCCTTTCCAGACCCTTCTTCTTCGTTATCTCCGTCCTCGCTTTTCCAATGGGTAAGCCGATGCTGAATCTCCGTTTCCCACTGTTCTCCGCCTTATGTTTCTACTAATTTTATGGACTCTGATCGGTTTCGTTTTTTTTTTTTTTTTTTTTGTGCGTTTGCTTGTTTTGTTCGTTTCAGCTGGTGGAAAGATTAAGATCGGAATCAACGGTACGTGATCGATCGGTTCTCACTTCTGGCCTATGGTTTTCCGTTCTAGATTTGTTATTGTTTTAGTTGATTGCTGATCTGGATCTGGGTTTTTGCGATGGTGGTGTTGCAGGGTTCGGCCGTATTGGTCGTTTGGTTGCTAGGGTTGCTCTCAAGAGGGACGATGTTGAGCTCGTTGCTGTGAACGATCCGTTCATCCCTACTGACTACATGGTATATTTAATTGAATGGATCTGTCTTTTTGATACCTGTAGTTTGACTTCGCCTTGGGAGTGGAAATTGCGTGGATTGATCCTGTTGACTTGGGGATTCTGAAACTCTTATGTGTGATCATTTCAGACCTACATGTTCAAGTATGATACCGTCCATGGTGGGTGGAAGCACTCTGATGTGAAGGTGAAGGATGAGTCCACCCTTCTCTTCGGCGACAAGGAAGTTAAGGTTTTCGGTCTCAGGTAAGGGAAGATGAAGCTTGTGTGATCTTTTGCTTTGGCGGGTGTTTCTGAGTTCTGGATTAGGGGTTTTGGAGGGTTGGTGGGTTTGATTGTTGATGATAATTGTGGATTTGCAGGAACCCGGAGGAGATCCCATGGGCATCTGTTGGTGCTGACTTCGTTGTTGAGTCCACTGGTGTCTTCACTGACAAGGACAAAGCTGCTGCTCACTTGAAGGTTTGTTTGCTGCTTGATTTCCCCTTTTTATCTTTTTTCTGCGTTGATTGATCTGCAAGTAAGTTTCGTTAAGTGTTGTTTTAGCTTTCTTAGAATTGAAGATCTGTTTGTTCCTGGACTGTGATCTTTACATAGTCCAACTATGAGTAGTGTTGACTAGCTTTGACTTCACCTGGTACTTCTGTCCGTGCTGTTTTGGGTTGTTTCTTTTTTAGTTTTTTTGGTTGTCTAGCCAATGGGTGGTTATCTTAGTTGATATCTTGATTATGACTCGTTGAATTGCTGTTTGGTTGGGTCTTAATATTTCAATGATTCTTTTGGTTCAGGGTGGTGCCAAGAAGGTTATCATCTCTGCCCCAAGCAAAGATGCACCCATGTTCGTTGTTGGTGTCAACGAGAAGGAATACAAGCCGGAGCTTAACATTGTCTCCAACGCTAGCTGCACAACCAACTGCCTTGCTCCCTTGGCCAAGGTAAGCCTTGCAGTCATCCTTGTGTGGTTTTCAATGAAGAATTGTAGTTGGGGTATATGTTTTGCTGATGTTGTTTGATTCTTTTGTAATGTGTCAGGTTATCAACGACAGGTTCGGAATTGTTGAGGGACTCATGACCACCGTCCATGCCATCACTGGTAAGCTTTTGAATCAATCTCTGTCAGCATTTGTGGTGTTAATCAGGGTGCTGTAGTCTTTAGTGTTTAATAATGTGGATTTGTAATATTTCAGCCACCCAAAAGACCGTTGATGGACCATCAAACAAGGACTGGAGGGGTGGAAGAGCTGCTTCCTTCAACATCATTCCCAGCAGCACTGGAGCTGCCAAGGTATCTATCCATCCATTTCTTCTTTTCATAATGTTTTTTAAGCAGTGAGTTAAAGCTAAATGGCATAATAATTGTGGTCTATCAGGCTGTTGGCAAGGTTCTCCCAGAACTGAATGGAAAGTTGACTGGTATGGCCTTCCGTGTCCCAACTGCTGATGTCTCAGTGGTCGACCTGACTGTCAAAATTGCCAAGGCAGCAACATACGAGCAAATCAAGGCTGCCATCAAGTAAAGCTTCCCGAATAGGATCCTTTCACTTGTTGGCTTGTGCTAGAGCCTGAATTCATTTGTCACTAACAACGGGTGTTGATTATATATTACAGGGAGGAGTCTGAGGGTAATCTCAAGGGCATCTTGGGATACGTTGATGAGGATGTTGTGTCTGCTGATTTCCTCGGTGACAGCAGGTCAAGCATCTTTGATGCCAAGGCTGGAATTGCATTGAACGACAACTTTGTCAAGCTCGTGTCGTGGTATGACAACGAATGGGGCTACAGGTACGACATGAACCAGATTAAGTTATCATTTCCTCTTGTTTTTTCTCTCTCCTTAGGGCGACCTGTGTTCTGATTTGTTGCTACTTACCAATTTTTCAGCACCCGTGTTGTTGACCTGATCTGCCACATCGCCAAGACCGTGTAAATTGGGAGATAAGAGATCAAGGAAGGATTGGAATGGAAGGGCTGAGCTCCTGTTGAGTTTCTTTTTTCATGTTGATGAGTGGGTGGTGGGTTGTTGATGTGGTTTTCATTTTCCCAGAGTTTTAGAGATACAGTTGGTATCATATCATAGCTGTTTCGGGAGGAACCCTTTTGACTATGGAATAAGGATTTAGTTGAATTCTGAATTTTGCCTTTGCTGGTACCAGTATAAATGTTTATGGTTATGGTTCTGGTTCATGTATCAGATAAAAGCTTTGTTAATCAAAGCTCAGCAGGGAAGTGTCTTCCTTTTCCTGGCAAAGCTTTCACTGCCATTGAGGTGTCCGTCCTGGCTTGGTCTATAGTGGGGTGCATTTAGTGACGGCTTATATGTTGCCGATGACAAGTGTGACGCGAATACTCGTCATTGTGAAATACTGAAATGGACGTTTGGCTCCAAGCCAAAACTAGCTCGGTAGAGGTGTTTAATTTGGATATCATCGAGGTATGTGTTGTATTGAATTGATAGACTAGTCGACGTTGTCAATTATCTGTCGGTTTCTGTAACCCAACTTGTTTTATGGGCCGGAAGGATAACGTAACAGAGGTATGGTTCTTCAATGTTGGCCTGAAAATCTCCAAGTGCTCTCATTTGAGTTGGCGGCATAGTGACCAGAAATTGGGCAACAAATTCTGTCAGAAAGGCTTGAAAAACTGACTCAATCCATCTTTTCGAGAAAAGGTAGTTCCAATCCTCAAAAAGATAATTTACATCTGGAAACTTGAAAGTCGGTTGACGAAATATACATCACTTGAATGCATCACCAATGGAGCCCCAATACTGTAAGAAGAGCTTGATGAAATACTTTGAGAAGATGCCTTGGGCTTGGAATGGAACCCTCATCTTTGGACTGTCTATTTCGGAAGGGAAAAAAAGAAGAAGCCCATTCACTCTCAGCATATCTAATCAAGGATCACAGAGTCCAACAACCCCTTAACTTCACATGAAACTACTTTTTCACATGCCTCACTCACCTGCTCCACAATCACAAAGCTCTTCACGTTTCTGATCCAAAGCCCCAACTTTAGCAACTCCAGTTTCATATGACAGATTGAATTTATGGCATCCGCCTGAACATCAAACACCAGTCAGTCAGAAGTCTTCTTTATGCGCAAGCAACAGTAAGCCCCCGTCTCACTGGTTTCATACATATATATATATATTTGGTTATGAAGAGCTTAAAAGAGTCTTGTGCATGATTTTATACTGTCAGCTGAATTAAGGTTTAGATTTTTGGTTCGAGAAATAGATTCAGCGGCCAATTTCCTACTGTCTCATGTTGCTCCTTGGGAAGTTTCCGAGATAGTCCTCAAATCCCTGTCTGTAAGTTGAATCACTGTGTCCTTTCTGCATTTGGCTATGGATCTTCACAGTTGAATAGTATTGCATTTCATCAACAGGAGCAACAAGGTTATGGGTCAGCCAACCCGTCTGATCTTAACTACTTGGTACCCAAAGTATCTGTTATGGGGGATGACTGATTTTATAAGACCATTCAGCTGGTATCTCATCTCATGGCCTTGTTTCCAAATTGCTTTCTCGGTTCAAGGATAAGACCATTCAAATTGTTTGAACTTTGAAGAGATGATAAGATAAGTAAGTATATAACCTAGCTACCAGACCTGCAGTGTCTTACTTGCTAGAGGAATTATTAGGGTCAAATCGGTTAGGTTAAATCTTTGGGTAGTTATAGAGAATTAATCGAATTATATATATATATATATATATATATATATATATATATTCTGTGTTAGGCATAAGCTAGGGTTAAGCAATAACAACAGAATTATTCCATAAATTCTTCTCTCTCTCAACCGCCAACCCCTCTTCCTCCTCCCTCAAACAGTCGGCCACCACCTTGGTATCCTGACCTCTTCTTCCCTCAACCCTGATTCCCATTCTATCTCATCCAAATCCCCAATTCGCGTACTAATCCAATCCCTAAATCACACACCTAGATCCGTGCTCTTTCAGTGATATCAGAGCCTGGCTGGTATGCCGATTTTCTGAAGAAGTACTGTAATCCGAAGATGACAAGCCCTACGGACAAACAACAACCGCCGCGCCACAACAAGGAGATCGTGACGATCAAGGATGTGACAACAAGCAAATATGACGCGATGGCGTCGTCCTTGGAAAGCCTGACGGAGGTTACTGTGAGGGCCGCGGAGGCCTCAAGAGGCTCGATTGGTGCAATTGAAGCCATGGGTGACCAGATCAAGGCATCCATCGAGGAGATGAGCAAGAGCGTGGCTGAAAACATCTGCGGAGCCCTGACAACAACGATGAAGGAGGTGCTAACCCAGGTTCTCAAGAACCGTGAGCAACCAGCAACCGCAGCCCTGGCGGTGACGGCGGCGGAGAAGCTGGCCGGTCGTGGTGGAGGCGACATGGCGGCGACGAGCAAGGAGAAGCCGCCGAGCGGCGGCGCGGGAGCTGGAGTGGCCACGAAGGTGGTGATTCCGGAGGTGGCGGCGGCGAAGGAGACACTGCCGAGCGCAGGTGGCGAAGCAGGGACGGTGCGGGTCTCGACCGCGAAGGTAAGCGCGCCAGAGCCGGTGTTCAGCGGCCCAAGCTTACTGCCGACACCAACGAACCAGGCCCACGACAAAGCCCGTGGGAAGCAGAAGATGGTGGGGTACGAAGGAGAGCCGTGGCCGACTAGGCCCGACGGAGAGGACCCATGGCCGATTGGGCCCGGGGAGGAGGATGAGCTTAGCTTCGCGGACCAGGAAAGATGGATGGACCCAGCCCCAGAGGAAGCGAGATTGGGCTGGGTATCAGACCCCAAGTCGGGTCAAACTGGACCGACCACCGAGTGGCCTACCGGTCGGACCAGAATCGATTGAATCGGGCCAAACCGTGCCGGGCCGGGTCACCAACCAACGGACGACAGCTGGGGCGCACCGGGCAGGTGCTTCGAAAAGGGGCCGGAGTGTGGGTATTCCTCATAGAGTACACCGCGAGCAGGGGGAGGGCAATGCCGAGGCTGTCGGTAAATTGGGCAGGGATCTGGGACCAAACCAGAATACGGCGGGAACCACCAGGGGATGACAGGTGATTGGCCCTACTCTTACCAGCAGCGAGCCGAGGGTAGCTACTACCATAATGGGCCGATGAATGGACAACCACCACCAAACACAGGCAGGTATGGATACAGTAACCCCCTGTATGACGTTGATGATGAACTGGTATTTAGAGCTAAACCGCCGGTGATAGAGTTTCCCAAGTTCGATGGGTCTGGAGATGTGGGTTAATGGCTTTATGCAGCAGAGAGGTGGTTCAGGAACCACCCGATCCGAGAAGAACGGAAGGCACACCTGGCGTCATTCTATCTTGAGGGAGATGCTCTCCAGTGGTGGGAATGGACCGAGAGAGCTTATGTGGTGGCAGGGGAGGTCATATCGTAGGCCAGGTTCCAGGACGAGCTGCGCTACCAGTTTGGCAAAATGGAGGGGTGGGCTCCGGAACAGCTCGCCAAGCTCAGACAGACGGGGTCGGTGGCCGAGTATCGCGTGAAGTTCCTTAAACTGGGAAACCAGTGCAAGAAAATGACAGAGGAGACCTTGGTGGGATTGTGTATGGCGGGGCTCCGTCTCGAGCTGGCAACGACCGTTAATGTTTTTGAACCTGACTCTCTTCGAGTTGCTTTTAGGATTGCAGGGCGCAAGGAAGAGGAGTTGGCCAGTTGGAGGACCTCGACGGGGCGCATCCAGAAGGGCAGCGGAGGTGTTGGAGCAGCGGGTACCACATCGCCGCCGGGAAATGCAAGCCCGGTAGCAACTGGAGCCGTGCCGGGGAGCAAGTTCCCGTCAAGGCTGCCGCCAAAAGGGTTCGTCCGACTAACTCAGGCGGAAATGGACCAGAAGCGCAGAGATGGTCGTTGTTTCAACTGTGACGAAAGGTACACGGTGGGACACCAGTGTGCCAAGGGACACCTAATGCTGCTCGTCGGGAACTGGGAGGATGAAGGCTAGGAAGTGGAGGCTCGGGAGGCAGAAGGGAAGAAGGAAGAGAAGAAAGAAGGTCCACCTTGAGGACAAGGTGGGTTTCAAGTAGGGATGGCAATGGGTCGGGTTGGGTCGGGTTGGGGCGGGTTTTGTCAAACCCAAACCCATGGGTTTATCCGCCAAAAAACCCGGGGTTAAACCCGCTGGGTTTGAAAAACTCAAACCCAACCCAACCCGCTGGGTATCCGTGGATTTTTGTGATAAAAAATTTACAATAACAAGTTTCTTTCAAAATAAAAGTTTAACATCATTTTTCTCATACAAATTATTCATACAAAAAACACCAATCTAGAGCATACAAGCAAACCGCAAATGATCAATACAAATTGTTCAAAATTAAAGATAAACATCTATAAACAACAAAATTAATTGAAAGTTTCTTCCTCGTCAACTAAGTTTCTTCAGTCTCCACTCCATAATATCAACTTCATTCTAAACAATTAGAAAGAACAAATTATACATGTCTCCACAAACATAAAGAATATTAGTTGTTGAAGGAAGATATATTATTGAGAATATTAAATATACCGGGAAAGTAATTATATGCGTGTGGGGCGGGTTTACCTAAACCCAAACCCAACCCAACCCGATGAATAGTGTAGCGGGTTTAAACCCAAACCCGGCCCAAAACCCGTCAACACGGATTTTACCCGCGTTGACCGGGTTGGTTCCGGTCGGTACCCGTGGGTTCGGGTTTTGTTGCCATCCCTAGTTTCAAGGGGGATGGAATGTCAAATACATGTTCTTTGGGGGTTTAATTGTTATTTGGTTGTTTTATGATACATTGGATATTTCGGGAATTATTGGGGTCAAATCGGTTAGGTTAAGTCTTTGGGTAGTTACAGGGAATTAGTCGAATTATATATATATTCTGTGTTAGGCATAAGCTAGAGTTAAGCAATAACAACAGAACTATTCCCTAAACTCTTCTCTCTCTCAACCGCCGACCCCTCTTCCTCCTTCCTCAAACCGTGAGCCACCACCTTAGTGTCCCGACCTCTTCTTTCCTCAACCCTAATTCTCATTCTATCTCATCCAAATCCCCAATTCGCGTACTAATCCAATCCCTAAATCACACACCTAAATCCGTGTTCTTTCACAAACCTGTAGTGTCATGCTGGAGGGATTAAGTCTCAACAACACTATGCTTCGTGCTGCTGAAAAGATTGAAGGTTTAATGAAAAATACATGATGAGTACACGAAGCAAAGCTTTCATGTGTTGTTCCTTTCAATACTTAAGCAGTACCTGAAGAACATGGATTTTACTTTTACCATGTTCACTGAAACGAGTTCCATGGATTGGAATTCCTGCTAAGATATAAATCCCAAGGGTCTTGCTTATTTTAGCTTGATGGATGCACAGAGAAAGACTCTACTGCACACCTGTGAACTTCAACAACTATGCCATCAGTTACCTGTGCAACTGTGAGGATTTCAAGACTCTAGTAGCAACCTAATTAGGAGACAAGTTTGTAATTAGAGAATGTTTAAATCTTGGAGGCTGTCTGATACTTGACAGTCTTCTGGTTCAATTTTCTCCATGGTTCCTGGCATATTCCTCAACTAACTGAAGTACAGCCAGGGTTTCTGAAACATTTCAAGTGACCTGGAAATCTGTGTTATGAAGATGATATCAAAGTTGCCTTACTGGCATTTGAATATTTTGAGGACAGGCAACCTCCCATCTCGAATTGCCTAAAGATTCTCCAATGAAAGGTTAGTGAACTGATCTATTTGTTTTCAACCTTGCTGCCCCCATATAAAGCTGCTACCTTTTCTGGTTTATCTCTAGCTGGTTGCATTTCATAAAGCATCGATTGCTCTATTTGTGCTCTTCACCTTTTTTCTTGAGAAGGGAGTTTTGGCTTGTGTTCTTGGATGTTTCTGCAACTGTTTCGGTTTTTTGGCCATGGGGACTCCTGGTGTGTCACATGGTGATGTCTATTCTGTGTTTCTATCTCACCAAAAGCCACAAGTGGCAGTGGGGATAGAGAGAGAAAGTTTAAAGAAGGATTGGATTCTCGTGATCCAATGTGAGCAGATAGATTAAAGGGTGAAATTTTTTTGTTTGATCTGATCGTTGGGTGGTGGTGCCATAAAAGCCAAGCATGTGCACGGGAGATGGGGTCAGCCAAGTCAAGTCCTCTTTTGCCTTGATAATCCCTATATGCTTATTCAATCGGCTGGTAAAGTAGCATAAACAAACTAATGATCCTCTTAAACAAGTGACGATACGGCTAGAAAATGAAGATCCAATACTCATGCCCGGGTCGGTTCGTGGTTTGATAGAAACTGAAATGGTTTGGTTTCGATTGTTAAAGCCGAAAATCATTAATAAATCGATAAATCTTAACATAATCAAAGATTCGTTTTCATTTTGTTTGGACCCAAATCGAAACCTGCTTGTTAGGGGAAACATGGGAATGATTGAAGAGGTGGTTCGTCATTGCCCTGGGAAATGGCCAAATCGCTAATCTGCTAATCTACCATCTCCGGCACCACACAACCTGCCGGCGACAGAGTCATCCTCTCAGCCGGTCACCAGAACCCAAGTTCACCTCTATCGTCAAACTACCCAAATGATCCCTCCAAGCTGACATGATTACAAGCCTCTCCAATCTCCATAGCCTTTCCTTCTTCCAGAAAAAAGGAAAATCCATCTCCTGTATACAGTTAGTTGTACATAAAACAACAGAATCCCATGAAAACCTCCTCAACCAAAGCAGTCCTCCCTCCCTCTCTCTTACTATTCCCGCGGGAACCACCAGACAAAGACACTCACTTTCACGAGCTAATTATGGAGCACGGAATCTGACCCTCCTCTATGCAATCAAATCTTTTGTTTATTATATAATACGCTAACCCAAATTCAGAAAATTCCTCTCCACCATAAGAACAGCACAACCCCACAAATCAAATCCAAGTGGCCTTCTCTCCACAAAAAAAAAAACCACCCTTTTAATCTGCCTTTCCCTCTTCAATGGCTTCCCTTTCCCGGGGAAAAAGTTGCCGTCTTTCCTCTTTTTCCCCCACTTCACAATGAACTGTTCTTCTTCTTGTAACTTCTACTCTCTGTTTCTCCTCCCAATCAAAAACCCAATTCAATAAAGAACGAAAAGCTTCCAACTTTCAATTTTTCCTTCTGGACCTGAAAATGCCGCCGTCGAATTTCCCGCTCCGGTGGGAGAGCACCGGCGACCAGTGGTGGTACGCGTCCCCGATCGACTTCGCCGCCGCCGAAGGCCACTACGACCTGGTGAGGGAGCTTCTCCACTTGGACAACAACCTCCTCATCAAGCTCACCTCCCTCTGCCGCATCCGCCGCCTCGAGACCGTTTGGGACGACGACGACGAGAAGAAGCCCGACTACAGAGTAGATGTCGCCAAGTGTCGCGCCCACGTCGCCCGCATGCTCTACACGGAGTGCGAGGTCTCCCCTGGCTACAACACCCTCGTAAGAGCTCGGTACGGCGGGTGGCTGCTCTACACGGCCGCCTCCGCCGGCGATTTGAAATTCGTCGACGAATTGCTGGACAGAGACCCGTTTCTAGTGTTCGGCGAGGGAGAGTACGGCGTCACGGACATGTTCTACGCCGCCGCGAGGGGCGGGAACTCCGAGGTTTTCAGGGTTTTGCTCCGGTGCTCTGTTTCGCCGACGGGGAAACAGGGGAACGATGAAGAGGTGGAGAATCAAAAAGGGGACAAGGAATTCGAGATGGAGATTGTGAATCGTGCGGTTCATTCTGCTGCCAGAGGTGGTAATCTGGTGATTTTGAGGGAATTGCTTAAGGATTGCGGCGATATTTTGAGTTATCGTGATGAACAGGGTTCCTCTGTTTTGCATTCTGCAGCTGGAAGAGGCCAAGTTGAGGTAAAAATTTTCTTCTGCGGAAAGAAACACAAACGTTTATTTTTTAACATTTGCAGGAAAAGAAACGGTTCGGTTGTCATAAAGAATAAGTATCGATTTTTTTCCAGGTGGTGAAGGAGCTCATAGCGTCCTATCACATCATAACTTCCACAGACCACAACGGCAACTCGGCCCTCCACGTAGCGGCTTATCGAGGCCACTTACCGGTTGTCGAGGCGCTAATCGAAGAATGTCCATCCCTAACCTCACTCACAAACATCCATGGCGACACATTCCTCCACATGGCCGTTTCGGGGTTCAGGACGCCCGGTTTTCGGAGAATGGACAAGCAGATTGAGCTCATGGAGAAGCTAATCTCCGCTGGTGGGACTGTGAACATCCAAGAGGTCATCAATGTGAAGAACAACGATGGAAGGACGCCTCTCCACATTGCTGTGTTTGAAAATGTTCAATCGAGCCTAGTCGAGCTTCTCATGACCGTCCCCTCGATCAATTTGAACGTTAAAGACGCCGATGGCATGACACCACTCGATCTCCTGAGGGAAATTAGGCCGAGATCAGCTGCTTCGGAGATCCTGATCAAGCAGCTGGTCTCGGCTGGAGGTGTCTCCAGCAGGAGACATAATATCACCGCTATTGCCTCTCAGCTGAGCGGCATAGGGATGAGCCCAGGTACCAGTTTTCGGATCCCGGATGGTGAGATCTTCCTCCACACAGGTGTGGAGCATGCAGCGGCGTCTGATTTCAGCCGCGAGCTGGGAACCAGCGCGGATTATAGTTCAGCATTGAGTCAACAAGATGCGAGTGTAGATGACTTGGAGAAGAAGGCAAGTAGTACTAGGCCAGGAAACAAGGTGAGTTCTGCTGCAAAGCGGCTGAAGGCACTCCTCCAATTGCCAAAGAAGAAGAAGAAGAAAGCAAAAGATCAGAAAGACCCTACCGTGGTGGCCAAGTTAACAGACGATGAGGCGTCTTCCATCGACTCCTTTCATCTCTGCAGAAGCTACGAGGAGTGTCCAACTCCGTTGAGGAAAAAATACTCGAAGCTCGCCTCGTTCAATGGTAATGGGAATCTTCCGAGTCCTTTGACAAGGAGCAGATTTGCAGCAGGGTTGATGCACGGAGTTATAAATGCGAGGCCACATTTCTCTGATCAGTCGACTCCTCCGAGTCCTTTTTCCGCTGTGTCTTCATCCGCGTGCTCACCAGCTTCTTCAAATCGAGATAAAAACCTGGTTAAATCAACAACATTCAGCTCCAAGCTGATGAACCGCAAGCAAGGTTCGTTCAATGCGAAGCTGATGAACCAGTACTTGTCTTTCGGTGCACAAGGGTTGGGAGTCGATGGTGGCGATACGGTTAATCGTAAACCAGGATACGAGGATTACACCCACCGGCGGGCTACTTGTTTAGCAGCTTGAACAAGTCTCTGATGTAATGTAACTCTTTGCTGCTGCGAGACACAGAAGGTCGAGGGAGAGCTACCTTCCTTTTTAGTAATGTTCTTTCTTTTCCAGATCAGGCAACGCATGGCTCTCAAGGTTTTGGAAAAAGGAAGTTGTTTTTTCATTGTTCTAATGTACGTATTGTACAGTACTTTTAACATTCGTAACCAGAAATCCTTGCATCAAATGCCAATGTTTTATTTGCATCCCAATTCTGCAGTTTGATCCTGCGCTTCTTTCTTCCATTTGGCTGAAGGTGGATTTATTAAATGGGCCTTTTCCGTTTAAGATGAAACTAGAGTTGTACCCGGCCTATTGGCCGGGATGTATTTCATTTGAATCATATACTTTAAAATATTTTGGATATTTTTTTTTTATGTTTCTATAATATATATTAATAAATTAGAACTATCTCGTATAATCTAAATGCTCTCGAAGTTTGAGCTATGAGTAATTGCCTTAACCAACCAATGAGTATTTTTTTTTTTTTTGTGTAACATAACCACTACTTGTACTTAAGTCAATATTCTTTACTTTTACTCCATGCGTATTAAATATTAACTGAGTCAGTCATAGACATATACAATGTATAATAATCAATAATTTTTTATGAGTGGATTAATGCTAACCAAGATAGTCAAATTGATTATCTTATAAATATACATTGTGAATTTTGGGTGAATATAAACTAAATGTCATTTGAAAATGAATTTATAATTTTAATAAATTAATTTAATTTGAAAATTCTTACAAAAAGTATGAATTTTAATTCAATTTGAAATGAAATATACATATTTTAGATATGTTGCTATTTTTTATAGCTAAGATATTTTACCATTGGTACGCTTATCTAAAGGAAAATGATTTTGCTATATCAGATTTCCATTGCGGAGAATTTTTTTCTTTGTTCTTTATTTTCGGTGTGATGGGTGGAGAGTTTTTTGGCAGAATAAAAAATACATCCAACTTTAGAAATATATATATCCCGTTTTTATAAATATGATTGGGAAAAAAATGGATAACCACCACTACTTGCAGCCGATAAAAAATTAAAAAAATACATAGAACTCTGAGAGTTGCGGGCTGGGCTTGAAGGAGTACGTGGCATAGACGCTTTTCTAAAAGCGCTTTATAATATTTTAAGATTAAGATAAGATGGACTCGGGCCCGTAGAAAAAACGAGCATTTCCAAAATTGCGCTAAACTTAGAATGGGCTTTTCGGCAACTGAAGAAATCCACTGAGGCCCGCAGAAAAGGGTATTTCTGTAATTATAATGAAACTAAAACCCGCGGGAGATTCAGATTAGCGGCTGATCGAGCCTGCATTTTCCCGCCATTACTCGCTCCCCTCAACCTTCTCCCCCTACTGAAACCCTAGTCAGAGCAAAATCGAAGCGAAGAAGGAAACCAGTCATGGAAGGCGAAATCAAAGCCGAATTCGAGAAGAACGGTTTCATCCTTGATAACGAAGAGGAAATCCTCAACAAATGTAAGAATCCCTATCCCATGCTGCCCGCCAATCTTCTAACTTCTACTGTCACTCGGTTCATTTCCATGTCGGTTTGAGTTCCTAATCTGGTCGCTCGGGGTTTACCAGGTCTCACTTTCTGCATAAACTACAAGCTTACGCCTTCGGATCTCGTTTCCAGCTGGGACGTTTACTCTCTCAATCGGTACAAGGGGAATCGAATATATGCGAAAATTTTCTTCTTTTTTCCCTCTTAATTGCAACTTTCAAGCACTGTAATTTGAGCTTGTTATTTCCACTTTTTGTGGTTTATGTTACAGAAAGCTGAAAGATCTAGTTGTTCAGAATGTGGAAATGGAAGGTTTCCTATCGCACTTACAAAACGAGCAGAAAGAAGCGGTGGTTAAACAAGAAGCCGACCTTCATTTCTACTCTAGCAAAGATGTTGACATGTAAGCAGTTTCCTCGTGAACAATTTGTTTCAATTCATAGTAGAATTCAGGGTTGAGGGGAATTTTCTTTTTTTCTTTACAGGATTTTGAATGATGACGAGGAAAACTTTAAGGATGCAATTCTGAGCACTCCTCCAGTTAAAAATGCAAAACCATACTCCGATCCATTTGATTCAGCACTCTACTCGAACGGGAACAGTTATTCTTCTGAGAAGCCATCAAGGCTTGTGACTCCATTCGGGCGAAGAACCGATAAGTTTGTTGCGAGATTCAACTTCAACAATCTGCCTGATACCGAGAATGGTGACGAAAAGGATGCTGGTATGGACTCTGAGGATGATGTGATCAAGAGGGTTAAACCTTTGAAGAGGTTTTCTTTGGCTGTCAATGGAGATGGGCCTGAGCCAGGTTGCAGATTCATGTATGACAGGATTGAAGACCGGGTATTCAGTTGATTGTTTTCCAACTGTGAATGTATTACTTAGAAATGATATCCAACAAATTCCACTAAAGCTAGTGCCTTCGTTTCTTTCTTTGTTCTTTTAGTTTAATGCACTTGACAACCGCATCAGAAGGCGTGCTGCTTCACTTTTTTCATCTGGCATTTATGAGGAACCATCAGATCCTTCGGTTGCTTCGGGGGTAAACTTTACAGTCCACTTCCTTCTTCTTTCCTTGCAGCGTTAGAAAGCACCTCAAGCATTTGGAGGTTTTATTGTTTTTTAGTTTTGTGTTCATTTGATTTGCAATTTTAAGCATATAGACATTTACATATCTCATTCATCTCGTGAATGCTGCTGTTTCAGAGAAGTATATTTGCTGTTGGAATGATTTGTTGTGAAGAGGAAGGTCGACTAAATGACAAGTCCATTATGCTGCAAAGCAGGTAAAACTTCATTGATGGAAACTGTCATGCTTTCTTATAGATAAGCATATTAACTATGACACCATGTCCAACTTTTAACCCTAATTGAATCTACAGAACAGTATTCTTTCTTTTATCACATTTCCATGGGTGGCCTAAAACATAAAACTTAGAAAGCATGGCATATACTTCATCAGGGCCCTCTTATAATCATCATCTAGAAGGATTACATGGGAAGAGAACCATTCTGTTTCACTGGTTATTATCCAAAGTTTGTTTCCTTGCTCATATTTATGAATTCTTTCTTGAATACTTAAAGCCTGAATTCGACAGCATCGAGCATTCAGGAGGACAGCGTGTGCGTCTAGATCTGCAAAAAGTGAACCAGTTCTCTGTTTTTCCAGGACAGGTAAAATCTGTGAATACAAGTTATTGGTGTTTGATCCATTCACGTCCAATTGCATACTCAACCAAAAGACGCGTTATTTCTCTGCAGATTGTAGGTGTTGAAGGTAACAATCCAAGTGGATATTGTTTGATCGCATCGAAGCTGGTAGATTCTGTTCCTTTATCAGCAAACAATGTTGAAGATTTGCATCCTGCGAAAAGACCAGCCTTGGACCAAGACATTCAGTTGGTTGACTCATCCAGTCCAGAAAAAGAGATATCAGTGGTTAGTACTTGTGCCCAAGTAGTCTTCCATTTTGTTAGATTATGAACTCCTTTTGTTATAATATGGTAGTCCGAAGTGGTCAAATCCTCTCATCTTTGATTCAGTCCATTCCCTAGCATAACTTTTTCTTTTATTTCGACAGCTTATTGCCTCAGGACCGTTTACCACAACTGACAACTTATATTTTGAACCTCTCTCGGAGCTACTAGCTTATGCAAGAAAAAAGCAACCACAGCTGCTTATATTGGTAAGCAGTTATTTTCTTTGAAACTCAATCTACTCTTCTTATTTTCAAGTGAAGAAGTCTCTTTTCAGTTAACTGATTATTGTTATGTTTCAGTTGGGACCATTTGTTGACTCTGAACATCCAGAGGTTAAGAAAGGAACTGCGGACAGAATCTTTGATGAAATTTTTCATATTGAAATCATCAGAAGGGTATTTACTGCTTAAGAAAACTTGGTTTTCCAATTGATTTGTTTAAGCAACTCTGTCTAGATCATGATCCCCTTTCTCTGATTTCAATTTCAGGTGCAAGATTATGTTGAATACATGGGTTCCAATGCAAGAGTGATTCTTGTACCTTCTACACGTGATGCTAACCATGACTTTGTTTTCCCTCAGGTAGCATCAAATTAACTTTCTTCATTTTACCACATAGTTTCCATTAGTGCACCATTTCCATAAGTTGGTCGCTCAATTCGAAAGTACCATGACGATGTGCTTTGGTTTTTCCAGCCTGCATTCGACATTCATCCTCCCGAGCTCAAACATCAGGTAACTCATCAATGCTGCACGACGACTTCTTTTCGAGTACTTGTCTGTTGGATCTTCATCATGGGACAACGGCAGAATGACTTAGTACTATTTGTTTGATTTTCCCAGATCAAGAGTCTCCCAAACCCAGGCATTTTCGAAGCTAATCAGGTAATGCCAACATCTTAGTCCTTTGCTTTTAGATTTGGTCATAAGTTCGCTCAATGACCTGGCATATCAGGTCAGAGTAGGTTGTTGTACGGTAGATATTCTTAAACAGCTTAGTGGAGAGGAGCTATCTCGGAATCCCAAAGATGGATCTCCACCAAGCGACCGGATGAGCAGACTTGCAAGCCATATCCTAAATCAGCAAAGGCAAGTTACATACACGGACTATCTTCTTCTTCCAAATCATGAATCCCAACACAGTATCTAACAGCTTCAACATGAAAACTTCCTGAAAGCAGCTTTTATCCACTCTATCCGCCGGCAGAAGATGTCCCTCTCGACTTCTCACTTTCTCCAAAAGCTCTCCACATTGCTTCTCCTCCACCTGATATTCTTATATTACCTTCAGACATGAAGTACTTCATAAAGGTAAGTTGAAGCTTAGTGCATACCTTATCCTTATCCTTATCATTGAATTGCCTCCCTCTAATCCTGTCTCTCCCTCTCTGGTGCAGGTATTAACGCTCGGAGGAACAACTGAAGGGGAAGAGCAGAGGAAGTGCATCTGTATAAACCCAGGAAGACTGGCAAAGGGTGAAGGAGGTGGCACATTTGCAGAACTCGATTACGGCGGCAGCCCTGATAGAATGAATGCCTCTATCTGGAGCATATAGAAGTGTTCCCAAATCCCATGTAACACATACTATCGCAACTCTGTTCCCGAATGTCGTCTTGCATTGCATACTAGATGGTTATGGTTGCAGAGTCTGGTCTAGATTCTGCAGATCATCAGCAAGTCTATGTGAGCTGCTGAATATGTACTAAATCACCATCCCACATTCCTCCTATCCTTGGGGAAACTGTGCTCCATACGAAGAGAAACAAAGTTGGTGGAAAGGGGCAAGGGATGTACATTTGGAGGAATTGAGCTTTGTATAATTTATGACAGGTAGTGTATTAGGGTTCTTCTTTTTTTTGACAAATAATATCAACTTTTATTCTACTAAAGAGAGAAACCAAGAAAAGACCATTACAATCTTAAAGGAGAGCAGAAATTAGACCAAGAATATTAATCCAGTCATCTGGCAGAATATCTCTAGCTTTTGATCGTGCCACCCAATCCGCTTTGACGTTCAAGGCCCTCGGAATTTCTTCCACCGAAATTGCAGGGTTAGTCCTAAGGATATTAACCATTGTTCTAATCCACGCTGCACATCTCCAGGGCCATCGAGACTGGCAATTCTTCAGGGCCTTCACCATCATCTGACAGTCAGTTTGTACAGTACAAACCGATCCATATTCTTGAGCTAATTTAATTCCTTCCAAGAGAGCCTTTGCTTCCGCTTCAATTGGGGTGGAACAAAGAAGATTTTCAGCTCTCCCATCATACACTTGTCCATGGTGGTTAACAGCAACAACACCATTTGCCGCCGACTGGGAGTCGCTAAAGAACGACCCATCACATTGAATCACTATCGAGTGATCACTTGGCGGGGGATTCGTAGTAGGGTGGGATCCCCTGAGCTGAGTGGGACCATCTGAAACTTGAGGTGGGGACCTCGGGCACGCATTCCATTCCGTAAGTTCTCTGTAGGCTTGCAGACACACATTTGGGGGCCAAGGGATTCTACTCTTGAAAGTGCACTCATTCCTAGCCTTCCAAATGTTCCAACACATGTAGATAATAGGAGTAAGCGAGTTCTGGGGGATGGTATCTTTGAGGGAGCAGAACCAGTCAAAGAAAGAGGTGCCCTGGGGAGGGATCGGAAGGGTAGGGAAGATGCTAGTCCAGGATTCTCTGGCATGCGGACAGTAGAAAAGGCAGTGGTTAAGGGACTCGAAAGGCTCATGACACACTTGGCAACTCGGGTCAGGGGCACATTTTCGTTGGAAGAGTCTTGCTTTCGTTGCCAAACCATTTCTGGAACACCTCCATATAAAGAACTTGAGCTTGGGCGGGATGTTCAAACCCCAAATCCATTTCCACCTCTCTTCATTTCCTGTCGACTGGAAATTTGTGTTGTTTTTATGAACTGCGTGGTAGGCCGTCTTGACCGAGAAATCTCCCTCTCTAGTGAGGCTCCAAGCCCAAAAATCATCAGCACCCTCCTCCCCAATTGGGACTTTAAGGATAGCTTTCACTTCTTCCCTCGTCACATGACCTTGGATCAAATCCACATTCCAGCTCCTACTAACTGGGTCGATCCATTCCTTGACTCTCAGGTTCTGCTGGGGGCCGCTTCTGATTACAAAGTTCTGTATGCTCGGAATCCATGGGTCTTGGCCAATCCATGTATCCTCCCCCGCCCCGATAACTCTTATTGCTCCCATGTTGATAACCTTTTTAGCCTCCCACAGGCTCGCCCAGATCCATGATGCTCTACTTCCTTTCTTCGACTACAAGAAATCTCCTCTCGGGAAGTACAACCCCTTTAGGAGTCGACACTAGAGAGCATCAGGGGAATTAAGGATTCTCCACGCTTGTTTCGCCAACAGGGCCAAGTTGAAATCTTTGAAGCTTCTGAACCCCAATCCCCCTTCAGATTTTGGGGCACATAAAATCTCCTTCCTACACCAGTGCATTGTGCTTTTTTGCATTGATCCTGACCAGAAGAAGTTGGTGAGGAGGGAGTCCATCTTCCTGGTGAGGTTAACCGGAAGGTTAAAAAGATACATGATGTAGGAGGGAATAGCTTGGATTACTGCTTTGAGCAGCACTTCTTTTCCACCATGAGACAGGAGGATGCTCTTCCATGCTTCTCCCATCTTCTCCATTCTCTGTATCAAGAACTGAAAGGTTTCCTTCTTTGAATTCCCCCATTCCGTCGGCACTCCTAAGTACTTGGTGTGACAGTTAGAAGAGGCAAAACCGATATGCTCAATGATTTCGGCTTTGTCCACATCGGGTACATTTGCACTGAAGAAGACGGAAGATTTGTTAATATTCACTTCTTGTCCTGTGATGGCTCCGTACTCTCTCATAATATCCAGGATCTTCCCCGCTTCTTGATGGTCTGCTTTCCCAAAAATAACTGTATCATCAGCAAAAAGACAGTGGGTGAGTATTGGGCATCTCGCGTTTAATCTAATTCCTTTTAACTGATTCTGGGACACTGCTTTATCAATAATAAAGGTAAGCGCATTAGACATTAAAATGAACAGGAAGGGGGAAAGCGGGTCTCCCTGTCTGATCCCCCTGGACGGTTGGAATTCCTCTGCTGCTTCACCATTGAAGAGGATGGAGAACTTGACCGTCCGGATGCAAGAACTAACCCATCTGCACCATCTACTATCAAACCCATAGTTCTCCAACAAAGTTTCTAAGCACTCCCAGTCCACCATGTCATATGCCTTCTTCATGTCCAACTTGAGCATCATGTCCCTTCTCCTTCCCCGCTTGTGGATTTTGAAGTGATGTAGTGCCTCGTGAACAATAATGATATTGTCTTGTATAAGCCGACCACCGGTGAACGCTGTCTGGAGCTCCGAGATCAGATCAGGCGTTCAAATCTTCAATCTGGTTGCCATAATTTTCGATATAATTTTATATCTAAAATTGCAACAACTTATAGGCCGAAACTGGCTAATCACTTCTGGGTGATCAACTTTTGGAATCACGACAATATGCGTATCGTTCCATCCTTCCGGCATAGCGGCCGTCTCAAAAAAATCCTTCACTTCTCTACACACCGTTTCCCCAATGATATCCCAGAATCTTCTATAAAACCTACCAGAGAACCCGTGTGGACCTGGGGCCTTCTTCGCCCCCAAAGAGAAAACCGCCTTCCTAACTTCCTCATTGGTTACTGGGGCACATAGATCACTATTCATCTCTGCTGTAACCTTTACTGGGAAGCCATCTAGGAGGTGGGAAAAGGGAATGTGGTCTCTGGCTTTAAAGAGGTCCTTGTGGAAATCCTGGGCCAGGTCTTTCAGCCTATTTTCATCCTCCACCCACTCGCCCATTTCATCCTTTAGTCTAAGAATCCTGTTCTTGTGCTTTCTATGGATCGTGCTGGAATGGAAAAAGGAATTGTTCTGATCCCCTTTCTGCAGCCACTTCATTCTTGAGCACTGATCCCAGAAAGCCTCCTCCTCCTTCCACATCTTGGCAAGTTCTTCATAGAGCTCTTTTTCTTCCTCCACTCTTTCCTGAGATCTTGGAGGACGTTGTAGAGTATCAAGACGATCCATAATTTCCTTCTCCCTTTGTAGACTATTCCTATGGAAGTCTTTTGACCATTCTTTAAGGTCTTGCTCGCACTTGGCCAGCTGGTTAGACGATTGTCCTCCTGGGTCCCATGCCCGGACCACAATTTCCTTACATTCTTCCTTATCCAACCATCTTTCATCAACTCTGAATGGTGTTCTCCTCCTCCTATTTCCCCTATAACAGAGCTCCAGCCTGATAGGGCAATGATCCGATTCTACCATCCTCTCATGGAAAACAGTTGCCTCCCCGAAAAGGATCCTCCAAGAAGTCGAGCACAACACTCGATCAAGTCTAACTCTTGTTGTATTTTCGCCAATACGCTTATTAGTCCAGGTGAAGGGCTCTCCTTTGAAACCCAGATCAATAAGTGCGTTGTTGAAAATAAACCTTTTAAAAGGTTCAACATTCTCGTACCTAAAAGGACAACGCCCTTCTTTCTCGCTTTCATAGATAGCAGCGTTGAAGTCACCAACAATAACCCAGTTATCCTCCTTACTACTCCGAAGAGAGCTTAGGTGCTCCCAAAAATCCCTTCTACTAACAGCTGTAGAGGGTGCGTGAACAAAAGTACAGAAGAACTTCCTACCCATATCAATACTACAATCCATATAGTAGCTATCACTACTTAAAATATTAATGCTAATACCCGCTTTCCACCAAAGTGCAAAACCCCTAGAAGAGTTTACCGGTTCTACATACTCTTTATTGGGGAAAACTTTGAGACTTCTTCTTTGCTCCTCCATGAAGGATTCATTCTTGCTTGTTTCCATGAGGAAGACAATCGAAGGGCCTAAACGTCTACAGAGACGTTTCGCATAACTTCTTGTAAGGGTTGGGCCAAATCCCCTACAATTCCAACTTACGATACTCATTCTTGAAGAGGTGGCTTCTGGCGAACCACCGCTGCCTTATTCTTCTTCCCTCTTCCCTCTTGATTGATTTCATTTTGATTCCCCTTGGAGGTGTTAGGGTGCAGAGATTTTACCTTCAAATTCTTCTTTTTGGTCCCATCCCCAAGCCCTCCTACTTCAAATCCACCTGCTGGCCCAAATTGGAAGGCCTCTTCTTCTCCCAATTCGGCCCTGGGCCTATCTCCACCAACCAGGCCCATCCCCTTCCTCTTCTTTTGTTGGCGGCCCGCTCCTTCCTCCCCAAGTTCTTGTGTGTGCTGATAATCAGCACTCAAAAAAAGGCCTGCTTGATTCAGACTTTGAGCTGGTATTTCTTGATGGGCCGAAGGGACTTGTTGGGTTGGCCCAAGAGAAAGGGCAGTCTCCACTATTGGCCGCCCAAATTCCTGGTTGAGCCGTTCCTCTTCCAAACACAGCCCTTTCTCCATCGCCGCCGCTGCCCTGTCCATCTCCCAACTCAGGTTTGTTGCTCCCATCTCCTTTCGGTATCTTCCTCTTCCTCTGCCCTGCGTCTCTTGTTCTTCCTCTCCATGGAATCCCTGCTCCACCCTTCTTACTGTGAAACCTGGAGGGATTTGTATGTTCCCTTCCAAGTTCCCTCCCTCCGTTGCCGACCTCGCCCCGCCATCTTCTTCCCTCCATCTTCCCTGGCTTCCCGAGCTCGCCCTCTCCCTTCCCGCCATCGCTCCCTCTTCTTCCCTCCAGCGCCCCTGACTTCCCGAGCTCATTCTCTCCCTTCCCGCTGATGAGCCTTGGGAGCTTTCCCCCCTCCCTGCTGCTTCTGAAACTGGCCGCCTGGTTCCTGTGGGGTGAGTCAATTCCCGCTTTCAGCGACGAATTGTAAACTTCAGATAGGTAAGCGATCCCATTCCTCTTTCTCTCTTCGTTCATTCTCCAGCAGGTCGGCCAATTGTGTCCAATTCTCCCACAGAAATAGCACAATTCCACCAGCCTCTCGTATTTGAAATCGATAATGTCGCAGTGCTCTTCTCCTGTGATTTCATCTGTGAACGGAAAGTCGAATCCGATCGGGACTGGCTCTCTTAGATCGACCTCCACCAGAATCCTCAAGAATTTTCTGTACCCGGAGAACTCCAAGCTAGCTCTGTCCAAATCGAGGAACCCCGGGAAGTAGTGAGTTCCGATCACCACCATGTTCTGTTCGCTCCTCTGGTTTTGATGCATACCATGAATTTGTACCCACATAGCCACCTTCTCCATTGGCACTTCTTCTGGTTTGCCCCTCCCGTTGTACTTCTCCACTGCAGTCAGCGTGTTTGACAGACTCCATGGTCTTACCCTCCATATCTTTTCCCTAATTTCTTCATTGCTAAAGGTGAATATGAAGAGGTTCTGTGTCTCAGTAGGTTGGACATTTACCTCTCCATATCCCCCCCAAGCATAGCGTGCCGCACCCGCTGCCTTTGCCAGTGCTACTCTGTTCTCGGTCAACATCTTTCCCAGAAGCATGGAAATACCTCTGCCTCCTGTGGAAGTGAGGATTGGACGATCAGCTCTGCTTCTTATGGATGATTGGGTAAGCCTGCTCTCCTCTCTGGCTCTGCTAGGGGCTCTGTTGTTGTTGATGTCCATGGTGAGTGGAGGGGTTCTTTCTCTGTCTTTTCTGTTTTTGTTGTTTGCAGGGTAAAACAGGGGGTGTTTTGAGCTGTAGAGGGTTCTGGGTTTGGGATTTCTCTCAAAAGCAGGTGCCCTCCTCCTCCCCTTCTCGCCCTCTTTAAATCCTTCTTTCGGCAGACTGCCTTTAATTTCACCTTGCTGGATGTGGTTTTGCATCTTGTCAATGCATTCATTATTCCCCTGTTGACTGGTATTACTCATGTTCTGCTTTTCTGCCTCTGCTTCATCTGCACTTGGCTCAAGACTTCCGTCCCTCCTCTTCCTATTGCTGGTGTCTACTTCTGGGTAATCTCCAGTAGCCCTTCTATTCCTTTGTACTTCTCTGTTCTTCTTCTCCCCTTTCTGACAGCGGAAGGTCGATTTCCCCCAGTCTGGCGGTTTCCAAATCCCCCTTTTCTTTATATCTTCTGCTGTCCTTCCTCTGCCTTGTCCATTCTCTGCACGAATCTCCCCTGTTGTTGATGTATTGATCCTTCCTCCCTCCTTCTTGTCATACAGATCTTTGCAATCTGCGGCTGGTGGTTGAAGAATGTTAATGGCGCTTTCGGGTTGAGCAGGAGCACTCCCAACGACGGGGACGGAAAAAGAACCGTTGGGTTCAGAGGAAAGTTCCGTTAGAAGGGGAGAGGAGAGAGACATGTTTTTGTGACGTGATTATTAGGGTTCTTCTAAAAGCTGTACTTTTCAGGGGTTTTTTCCTGAGTTTATTATTATTATTTTATTCAGTTCAACTCAGATGGATCAGTAGAGACAAAATAGAAAAAAGAAATGAAAGAATATTAGTCATCTTCCATTTTTTCAATTCTTCACCAAGATATAAAACTGTCAGAAGTCAACATTCTTGGCAGCTTTCTCTTATTGGTTGAACCAAGCAGCTTGTGATAAGAGTGTCTTATCCTTTTCTTTTTGTACACAACCAATTGTCCAGATTGGTCGACACTGTTACATCCGAAAAGACCAAGTCTGCTTCTTTTGTTCGATTTCGCTTCTATTCGATTTTGTTTTTCGTTTCAAGTTGGTATGCTAAAATTTCCAACAAAATATTCATTATAATGTTGTCTCGCTACATTTGCGACCGTTACATCCAAATTAATTTTCGACTCATAAGCACGTCGATCTGTATTTGTTACATTTACAATCGACTCATGAGCTCGTCGACGCTAATCCACACGTCGACACATTGCTCAAAAAGAAGAAGAAGAAGAAGAACAAAGGAAGCCACAGCTTATGAACAAGAAGAAGCAGCAGCAGTGAATTAACAGAATCACATATACACACAACACAGCAATCAAACCAATCCCTAAAAAAAAAAAAAAATCGAATTATCCGGCCGGAGCGAAACCCTACTACTTCACCTTATTACTAATCCTTTGCAAATCAGAGCTCCTCCGCCCCCAAAACCCTCTCTCCTTACACCAACCCACCCAGTGACTCGACACCCACATCACACTCACCGCAATCGCCGCAACAATCACCACCATCCACGACACCCACACCCACGCCGGAATCAACCCCCGGCCCTCACCGCCGGCGAAGAACGCCACCATCTGGATAATGAAAATCGGTGCCAGGACCCCTCTCACCACCGAATAGAACACGTAGAAGAACGGGGACAGAAACTCGTACAGCCTCGCCGCCGCGGCCGACTCGCCCTTGCGGAACCGGGCGATGCTCCACACGTTCTGGCACGCGCTGGTGGCCTCCGCGAGGATCAGGAGCTCCAGGAGGCCGTACGCTCCCCTGCCGACCAGGAACCGGCAGGTGAGGAAGACGTAGAGCGTGGCCAGGTGGTGGAGGATGAAGAGGACGTCGGAGGGGGAGAAGGCGAGGTAGTGGAGGAGGTCGGCCACGAAGTAGGCCGTGCTGAAATCGAGGACTGAGTTCTGGAATTCCGAATTCGGCGCCGCGAGAGGAGGAGCGCCGCCTGCCGCGCCGGTTAGGAGGGCGCGGACGGCCAGGAGGACGGCGGGGGTGCCGTGGGAGAGGGACATGAAGGAGGAGGAAGCTTCGGCGCGGTGTTTGGAGCCCCAATTGCGGAAGAGGACCAAGTAGGCGAATAGGTAGATGGAGAGGAAGAGGGCGAGGCAGGTAGAGAAGTTGAGGGAATCCATGGCTGGCGGTTGTGGGGAATTGGGGATGGGAGCTTGGATTTTTGAAAGAGAAGGGAGTTGAAAGTTTTTGAAGGGGTTTTTGATTTGTGTAGGAGGGAATATCCAAAGGGAAATCGAAGGTTTTATTCCTTTTAGGTTTGGGGATTGGATTATCAATGGCGTCCTTGTCAGAAATTTTGATTTTTTATCAGATATTTTTTATAATTAATAATAATGGAGCATTAAATTAACGTTGGAGATTATTAGTTCATAATTAAAAAAGGAAAAGACTACTACTTGAGTAGGAATCAATTAGTTTCGTGCACTTCGGGTTTCATTTGTACTTTTTTCCTTCTTCTTTATAATAGTGCAACTAAATCATCTTCTTTCTAATAGCTTAACCAACTTTTTTTCTTTCTTTCTTCTGATTGCTTCAATCTCTTCGCATGTAACTATTTTTTGTCAAAAAAAAAAAAAAATCTCTTCGCATGTAGGTAATGACGGACCCAGTATTGTTGAAAAGAGGTGTCGTCTAATTAACGAGTATCGGTTGTAATTATTAAAGCGATGTCGGAAATCTCATATTAAATTTTTTTGTACAAAAAAAATATAGGTTCTTCACATAATTTCCGGGCAAAGTCCGACACCCTTAGCAACACGTGGTCCGCCCCTGCATGTAGGTTGTACAATGACGACCAAGCGACATGGGCATCGATTCTCTAACAACGGAGCCAAAAATTTAAGTCTAGTACAAGTGAAAAGTAGCAAGTCGGAGAGTATATAGTATGCGAGTCACGTATTGCGCGCAAAATTATGTAAATTTTACTTAATATCTCGTCAAATAGTGAAATATTCCATACTAGTACATCTACCAATTTAGAAGAAGATATGTTGCTATGATTTGAAAACATAAAATTTGTCATCGACCGGAAGTTACGAGGTTTGTAGCCTTTTTCTTTTCGAGGTTGGATTAAGTTAGACCGTCTGAAGAAGGGACTATATATTCCTTTTCAATCTATTAATTAGTATCCACTCAAGTACAATGAAACTAGCAAGTCATTCCTCATGGATATGAATTAGCTAGTAAACCACATAAATTTATGTGTTCTTTACTTTCTTACACTATCGATTTCCAAATCCTTTCTAACAAGATGTGACTGGAATTATGTTTAGATAGGTTAAGGGTGCAAGCAAATCACTAACCAAGCCGAGAAGCAAAGTAGAAGATAAGAATTAACGACTTCTTCCCTGCTTGCGAGTTCTGTTATGGTACGTTATTATGCTTTTATGCCGTGTCGGATATTCGGATGTGTTTGCCAGCCAGGCTGCATATTCCATTTTATTGTGCCGGGAAAATGCTTCCTATTCAGACCAATTTCTCCACCACACGCAAAAGATTGATGAATTTATACCCCCTACTATATATGATCTCATCTCACACACTACTTATACCTATCACGAAAACTGCATTTTCCAATGTACATGACATGAGATAACACACCAGCACAGAAAATGACTCGTTTTCATCATACAACAAAAAAGCTCAATTGCAAGTGTCTCTCGATAACCAAATTGAAGTTCATCGGCTTCTTGAATGTTCGTCCTTAGATTACACGTAAAGTACATGCAGCGAGACACTATGAATGGAACTCGATCGGAAAACTGAGGAAAGGGAGCATTCGGCTTTATTAACTAAACTAATCATAGGATATAACCTAAGTTAAAAGGAAATAGAAGCACGAATCGAAGGGTCACGTATCTGAACTTGGTAGCTGCACCGTCGGGATTGGAAAGGGGAGAGGGAGCCTGTCCTCCTCCTATTCACTTACATAACCATGCCTCCATCAATAGTAAACACCTGCAAGAGCAAGACCTTGTTGAGTCAGTAATGTTTAGCCAATTATAAGAGAAATGGTTAGGCGAAGTGCAAAACTCTGTCTGTCTAGTCTAATGCTTCTCTAGTTAGTGGTGGATTCTATTCGATTTAAGCTAATGTAAATAATGCCCTGACACGGCATGAAAGAGTATAAGAACTTGCAGTCTAGTTTGGATGTTGTCAAGGGGAAATAATGGGGTAAAAGCGATGGTTAGCCTGTTAAGGCAGAAGGTCTGGGAACAATGGACTTGAGGGAAGAGGACCTAACTAGAATTGTTCCCTGGCAGCAAGATCGCATGTTAAAACTAAAACAACCAAGAGAAAAAGGGAATAGCTAGGAAGGAGAAGATCCGCGACCTGTCCAGTGATGTAAGTGGCCGCTGGGTTCAGAGCCAAGAATTCCACCAATCCAGCTACCTCTTCTGGCTGGCCATACCTCCCTGGATAAATATTAACAATTTAGACACCAATCATTGGGAAGATTATCATTAAGGTATCCAGTACTGGCTAAAGACGAAATAGTACATGCACTGATGATAAGCTTCTCGCAAAAACATTCATTACGTGAGGTTCCACGGCAGTAGTTGCACAAACAATTAATGCAAGTATGGGCTTTCTGCAACTAAGTCTTGAACCCTGTAAGCATTACTTAAAGCTAGCTAACACACCTAAAACAGCATACCAGAAAGTTTAAGATCACGGCTCACCTAGAGGAATCCCCTCCAATATTTTCTTTTCAATATCATCACCGAGCTTGGCAGTCATGTCGGATGCAATGAACCCTGGAGCAACTGCATTGACCTGGAAAATATTGCGTTCAATAAGCCCAAAGTTCAATAATCAAGAACCATCTTTCTTTTCATATAAGCGCGAGAGAACGGTTATGTTTCCAGACCACCCACATTAATATTTCTGCTGGCATATTCCTTTGCAACAGTCTTTGTAAAGCCAATAACTCCAGCCTTGGCAGCACTGTAGTTTGCTTGCCCAGCATTGCCAACCAAACCAACCACAGAAGCAATATTGATAATCCTTCCCTTCAGAACTCAAGAAGAAAGAATGCATCACAAAGGTCAGAGACCACCAGAAAAGTTTCTTGCAGAAATACTATTATGAATAACAGTAGGATTTGTCCTAAATTGGAACTTCCCTTCGAAAATATTCCTACAGCAAAGAAGAATTCAACTACAAAAGAAGCAATTCAAAGCCTCAACTATGTTCAAGACAGAGTTTCAGAGCATAAAGTAAACAGAAAAGCTTAAGCTGGATCAGTTATAATACCTTTCTCTTCTTCATCATGATCTTGGCTGCTGCCTGCAAAGAGTAAACTAACTTGGTTCAAGATAAGGAAATTTCACCTTGTCTGTGCACAAGTACAAATCTCAAACCCCATACCTGTGTGCAAAGGAAGACACCGGTAAGATTGAGGTCAATAACATCCTGCCACTGTGATTTCTTCATTCTCATCAACAAAGTATCCCTCGTGATCCCTGCAACCTTGCTCAATAAGATTAGAATGCCCAACAAGATTGAGGTAAAAAGAATCATCAAGCACAAAATGGTCTCCGAAGTTTACCTGCATTGTTTATCAGTATGTCAACTGTTCCAAATGCATCAATGGCCTGCAACAATTGTCCATTATTTAAGCAATCCTAGTCAAAAACCTTAACTGAGAAACTTCTCTCAAAACCAACCAATAAAGGTTATTGTTCTTACAGTTTTCATCATTGCTGCCACGTCCTCTTCCTTAGAGACATCCCCACCAAAGGTAACAGCCTGACCACCGTAAGCCTCAATCTAAACCAAATGATTCAATGTCTCAGTCAGCATATTCCTATACGAAATCCGCTAAGTCTAGGTAGCACAGAGCAATTAAACCCTATGCCATAGCAAGAAAGGAAGAACAGTCACCTCTTTGGAGACTTCTTCTGCCTCCTTAGACGATCTTGCATAGTTTACCAAAACCTGTTGCAGTCCAAAACATAGCCGAAAAGAGTCATTTCAAATGTTCACTTCTGGCCATAACTGACACGGTGTACCTTCCTCCGTTTGGACTTCAGATTACTAGAGCCATACAAGCAAATGCGAATAGCAAACCAGAGAGCAATCATCACTGACCTTGCAACCTGCTTTCCCCAAGGACAATGCAATTGATTTGCCGATGCCCCTCGACGCTCCAGTCACTATAACTACAGGCGACTCCACCTTCTGAACCGCCTCCGTGCTCGCTTGTTCCGCAGTAGCAACCTGAGCTCTCACGCCTGCCGCCAAAATCCACAATCAGATATGAAAGAAATCCAAAAACAAAATAAAGATCACAAACGACACGAAATTGATTACCAGAAGATGCGACGGAACTTCGCGATCTGCACTGGAGGCTAGCGCGACCAGCGTGGAGGTTGCTGCTGACTTGGCCGGAAACCGGACGGAACTGGCCGATGCTCCTTTCACCGGAGGAGCTTCGGAAATCTGCGGAGGTTCCGGCGGATTTGAGGGCGACGGCACTGGATCCCGCAATAGCAGCCATGAGAGCTCCGCCGAAGTTCCTCCTAACAATCGAAGAAGAATGCGAAGCGATGAGAGTAGCCAGAGGAACGATGATGTAGAGCTTCGGGGTTTATAGGAGCTGTGGAAGGGGATTTCTATGGCTTCAAGTGCTTTGGAAGCTCCGGAAGAATTATGGCGGAAAGGGACGATAAAAACGAAGTTCGTGCTGCGAGCTGTTGAATCAGGAAGAGAGTGTGTGTGTCTGCCTGTTTGGCGACTCTGCATTTTTTTTTCATTAACCGGGAGTTGGTTGGTTGGTTGATTTATTTGGTTGGTTGGTTCGGTTTGGTTCATCGGTTTATTGATCAAAACACTCTTGACAATGCATTTTTTTTTTTTTGCTATAGATAGATAGTCAGTAGATAGAAAATTACAAGAGGTTTGAAAGTAAGAACCGACAGTCAACCAAGTGTTGATCTGCCGATGCAAGGGCATTTTTGCCGCACAATGGGCAGCCCTGTCAGTACTACACTGAGCATAGACAAATTGCACAAAAGAAAAAGAGGTCTTCATGAGAAGAATTTCTTATAGTATCGCTCCTCCTCTGTCATGTTGAATCTCGTTCTTCTTAGCTTGCCTGATAACCAACAGAATCTCCACAAAAGCAAACATCATTACCTCCATGGCTTAAGCACCAGCTCATAGCGTCCCTAATAGCTAAAAATTCAAGAAGGAAATGCTATTCCAAACCTGGGTACATTTTACCATAAGCGCATACTAAGGCATATTTTGCAGTGAAACCCACAAAACCAATGCTGCCTACATCATTCATCCGGACTACTCCATCAAATCGCATTAGCAGACCACCTAAAGGACTTGTTGGAGGCACTGTGAGAGTGGAAGCACGTTGTGGTTGAAGTGTACGATGAGCGGAAGAATTGGAAGCAGCTTGCATTCGCCATTTGATTCTGAAACTGGCAAAACAGGGCTGGTGGAAGGTATTGAATATGATCATAAACAGACCAACATCTGCCTTTCTACAACCGCCAGGCACTGAATACTATCTCCGCAATTTGAGACTTAAACATCTGTAAAGAGAAAAAGATACGAGGCCATAAGAAATCAGGAGGGATTAGGCTTGAAGTTTGGCACAATCAATTCTTCCCAGCTGCCATCCATACCGCCCTTGCAATCCTGCAGTCAAGAAAACAATGTGAAATGGTTTCATCAGTTTTCGAGAAAACCGGACAAGTACGAGTTGGGAACAAGGACTTTGCTTGGAGGATCGCACACAGTAGCAAGAAGCTGTGACAAACCTCCAAAGGAACAACTTTAATTTCGCGGGGATTGGTAAACTTTAAAGACACTTTTAGAACTTCATATCCAGTTGCGGCGGGAGGTTCCCAAACATATTATCTCGCTCAGACGAGAGAAGATGGTAGCCGCACTTGACTGTATATTGATCGGAAGGAGAGTAGTGCCAGATCAACCTATCAGGAAGAGGGTTAGAAGGAAGTGGAATTGAGAGAATCCAAGTCACACTCACCGACTGGAAAGTAGATCGAATCAACTACACATTCCATGAATGAGACAAGGGATGAATTAAGGAAGCTACAAAAGGGTTGGAGAGAACAACACCTGGTAAAAGTGAAGGGGAAGACGGAGGCGAGGTAGGCAACCAGTAGGCATGAAGAATACTTACTGCAGTCCCGCAACCCACCTGTCATCGGAGGCCTTTTCTAAGTAGCTCCCTGCCTTTCAGAACACCTTGTCATGCCCATGACTGACGATTACCCATAGGGCAGAGAGAATTGATAGTAGAGATGATAATGACTTTAACAAAATTGGTGGTCTATTCATCCAAATATGCTCAACCTCCTATTTACATTTAACATGGGTCATTGTATGGCTGGTTTGTTCCCAACTCACAAAACTTCCCTCAATACGCCCCATCCGTAAGGCCTTCACTTTGATTCGTCACACACTTGGCCCAACTCCATAGAGGAGGGTGCCTGTCTATGCAATAGGTGCTTTACGGTGGCAATCCGTTTTGACTTCCTCACAAAGGTAATAAAATGAAATTTGATCGTCATTTCCACTTCAAAGCTCACTGCCATAGCCTTTGCCATTTCCGATTCTTACAGAATGTGAGTCTGATGAACGACCGCTAATTTAAATCATCCTTCTCTATCACGTTAATTTTGAAATGCGAGCTCGTCGATGGGTTTCGGGGTTTATGCTTCCAAACGAAGGTGGAAAGGTCAATCTCTTATGCTCCATGCACTCACTCGATCTTTCCATGATCTCACGTTCCTCTAAATTCTTCTTATCCCAAAATTGGTTGTTCCTATGATCTCGGATGTACTAGAGTGTGACTAGAAATTTCCCAATCATGTTGTTTTCTTTCGTCTCCTGGAAGGCACAAAACCATTCCTCGCATGTCAGATTCTCACCTTGTATGGACATAGTTGTAATGGGTTAAGCCTCCAAATGCGTCTTACCTAGCCACACCATCTAGAAAATATATTCTTATTAGATCACATAATGGATCATCTTCATTCCACCTTTTGAGTCATCTCCACAATTCTGGCCCCCTAGGCAGAATGTTATGCATCAACTTCCAAGCAAAAACCTTTACCTATAGGGGGTATGCAGTTTCCACACCTCTCCCAATTTACTACCAAGTAAAACTCTCTCAATTCTCTTTCATTTCACTTTTGCCACAACAGTAAGCCATTTTGACAGAACACTCACCCAGTTTACTGGTTGTTTAGGGATTGAAATATTTTCTAGTCAATGGAAATTGACATCAAGTCCTCTTCTATAAATCCATGAGCTCCACTACTGATGTGGTCAATGAAAATTGGAGATTGACTCACACAAAATACCACACTAGAAACCCCCTCTAGAGCCCAAGTTTTTAAACTCTAGAGGGGTGCAACATATGGCAAGTAAGTTTTAATTATCCACCCGGGTCGATCCATGTACCCCTACTTCAATCGCTTAGGTTGTTATCTAGCAAGCAACTTTTGGGTTTATAACTAATGAAACTATAAACTAAACAAGCAAAGAAAAGTAAATAAAGGAAAATTCTAAATAAAGGAGCTTCACCTAGGAGTTGCTTCTCCGTGACTAGCTACCATGACTCGTTGGATTGAATGGAGTCGTGTGGTGTAGGTGGTTGTGAACCGCGAAGGTGAGCAACTAGTGATCGATTTGTCACGGAATCAATTCGCTAGCGATCGATTTGTCACAAGATCGATCCTCTCACAACGTCTAGGGGTTTCCTAGGTCTCTCCCTTGAATCGGAGTTTGAGCGGCTTAATCACGACCAACCTAGATGCAAACTTGAGTCAAGGGGGATGCTCATCTCTAACCTAGATAGTAGGCACAAAGAGCCTAGGAAAACCAAGCTTCTCAAGATCTTTTACTTCTAGGCTTGAATCCTTGTCTTCAAGATCCACCCAAGCCTCCAATGATGCTCCAAGATCACTCTAGCGCTCTCTCCCTTTCTCACTAGAACTCCCCTTTGGTGTTTTGGGGCAAACCCTAGAGAGGAAATTGAATTTCTCTCCAAAAAACCAACCCTCCTTTTCTCTCTCCCCGCTGCTGTCTTCATATTTGTCCGAAAGTGAGAAGTTCATGGACGCGTTGGCCAGTTCACGGCCGTGAACAGCTAAACGCGCATGTGAACTCAGTCGTCTCCAAAACGCACCACTTCACTCTCCTGGGTTCACGGTTAATGGCCCCAGTTCACGGTCTTAGCGACAGTGAACTCCCTTGACGTCAGTAACCTCTGAAACCTCGCTGGACTGCTCGATGTTCACGGTTTGTGGCTCCAGTTCACGGTCCTAGGAGACCGTGAACTCCCTTGTTTGACCGTAAACTGCGGCTGCTTCCTGGACGCCTGCACTTTGGACTTTTCTTCGGTTTTTGCGCTTTTTAACCTCCAATTATCCCAAAATTCGACATCGAACCTTCCACACGTGCTAGGACATGAAATGTATCAAAACAATCACAACCTAGCGTGAAATATGTTGAGGGACGATGAAATACTAAGCTAAACGAATAAGAAAAGAGGGTTGAAATGTATACATTTGGGCCCAAATAAGAGACTAAACCACGTGCATTTCTGGCCTATGAACTTGGGAACCACTTGTCCGATCATATATCTACCATATCTCCATTACCTATCCGCCATCTTGAATCCATTTCAATTAACTACTTCACTACCATTAAACCTCTCCAAACAAAACTCGGGATGCAACGTTCGTATGCTTCCAGAATCTCCCAGTTAGGATGATATTTAGCATTTTATCCCTTGTGACTCTAGGAAATCTAGATTTTGCATAAGTCTCCTAAACTGTTTTCCTATGAGGCCTAATTGAAATTTTGCAGGAACCTAAAACCCAATTTACCTTGTTTCTTTGGTCTACATATCACTTCTCATTTCATCCAAAGTGTTCTTTTCTTATCATGTTGTTTCATCGCCAAAAATTCGCAATGATTTTTTAAACCTCTTTAAATACCCCAATGGGTAAAATGGCATCACCTTTATATAAAAAAAAGCACCCCAATGAGTATCATAATACTGACAGTGCGAAGTTTATTTGTGTTTGAGCGACTGAATTTATAAGAACTTCCTTACATGCACTGGATAGTAGTTGAGTCTTCCGAATTTTTACTTTCTTTCTCATCATATCCACTAAATATTCAAAAGTTTTTATTTCTCGTCCACTTTTATAGGCAGGCCTAAGTATTTAACAATTGACATGATGGTTAACGCTCTTCATTCATAGTATTTCATCCATTCCTTTTCTTTTCTCCTAATCAATGTTTCGACTAAAGTTAAAACTCTCGTCTTCATAGTGTTGATTTGTTGTCCTGATACAAGTACAACCTCATAAAATGCTTAGTATATTCTTCGATTGTTCACACTCTGGGCGAGTAGTTTTGGTGAATAAAATACTCTCATCTACGAAAACCTTTGCAACATTCTAAACAATTAATTCACACAAGAAACACATTATTGTGCGGCCCTAACATGTTGCAAAACACAGGCAATTCAGCCTCCCAGAAACAGGAATCACAAAGCCCACTCTCCACCATTTCCAACACTCGTTCCTCCCTCCGCAGCCACACCAAGTCCGGATTCTTCCTACTAAAACTCTTCAACTTCTCTCTCTCAACGCACTTGCAGCTGCAACTCCCCCGCCGGACGTCGTCGACCTTCCCTACCCAGTTGCACCTCGTCGCCAGTCCATTGCCGTTGTTGATCCACCGCAACTGTGCCATCACAGACCTCACCGCCTCCCTGCACTTATTCCTTATAGTCTCCGACCGCCTCAATCCCTCAAGAAACCCCAACCCTTCCTTCCTCTCCTCTTCGATGGCAACACACAAGAGAATCATCCCGCACACGTACCTCGCCGCCACGTGGCCCTTCCCTGCTGCGTCCCTCAGACGGCGAATCCCAGACTCTGCCTCCAAGCAGTGACGGAGGTGGAAGGGTTGGACTCTGTCACATGATACAATTAATTTTTGGTATAAAACGATTATAAATTCCTAATGTATACATACAAAATTTATTGAATGCAACGATTAAATTAAAGGTGAAGTAATTGTATTTTGATACTGTACCAAAGCTTACTTATTCTATTGTCATAAATCTCAAATCATTTGTTTGAATATTAATTATATTTAGTGTATTACTTGTCAACTTCAAATACAAATCAACTAGTGATTTGAAATTCCTCCTAACAAAAAAATAGACTTGTTTGTAAAATTTTAAAAGTTTAGATATTATAGTGTGATGCAAAACATATAAAGGTACCAAAATTTCTAGACCTTTTAGTAGAAATTTAAAAGTTTTAAGTAATAAATCGCAAGAAAAAATAAATTTGATTACCAAATGTAATTTACCAAAATTTTTAGTTAGTGACTTGAAAATTCAAAATAAATAAAAAATATAACTCTAAAATGCCAATAAATTACAAATGAGTATCCAAATAATATTTAAGTTACATGTTTTTAAAATACATTTTACTCGGCCCGTTGGCCATAGAACGTTTTTTATAATTTATATTAATTAACTTATGTATATGTTTAAATCATTTTGGATCTTCTAAATATTTTGTGTAGCTTTATAACAGAGTTTGTAGTATGTCTATATTGAAAATTTCCAATATATAGCACACTCACTTCTGATGCTTCGGTTTTCTAATCATAAAATCAAAAGTACAGTATACCTTAATATTTTGTGTATATATATGGGGGTGGGGGGTAGAGTCAAAATTATCCATATACTTTGCTAGACCTATCTTATCTCCCATAATACTCATATTAAAAGTGCTACTTGCCTATCTCCCACCCCCGAGATAGAGATCTCGCTTTTACCCCCATAACGCCAGACAACCATTGGGGTTGTGTATCGTTCAATAAGTAATATATAAATAGAAAAATCCTAAGATCCTGCTATTTATTTCTTATCCTCTCCTGCCGCTCCCTTTATGGAGAATAAAAGGGTACAATTGGCAGCATCATAGCTCGATATGGTTTTATTCTGTTCATCGTATCGGAGGTTATGTTATTTTTTGATTTTTTGGGGCTTCTTTTCATTCTTGTTTGGCACCTATGGTTGTGATTTTGTGATCAGAGATATTTAGCCCCTAAAGGGATTGAGATTTTAGATCCTTTGAAAATCCAATACACATTCATGATTCTCGAGTTTGGACGAACTTTCGACCAATGTTGTAAAGATAGGACTTTTTAGTGAGAAATTCTTAGTAAGATACTTCATTATTGGATCAATTTATTCATTCATATTCAAACTTGACACACATCGTAGCCCTCATGATGATTAAATTCTCTAATCTCGACTCATTTCCATTTTAGATGTTTTTTTTTATCAAAATACTTAAATTTAGTATATTATACAATATGTATCAATTGTTAATTTTTGAAGTTTAGACGAAACCTCCACCCGTGGTCATTGTTTATATGTTGGCTTAGAATCTCAAACTAAGACACACACACACACACACACACTATCGAGGATTTTGGTCTTAACATGGTTGTTGAATGTGTAATTTTCAAATATTTTATCACTTATGTATTAATAATTGATAAAGAGTGTCTACAATACACACAAATTTCAAGTGCATTTAAAATGTCTTATCATTTGAATAATATCGGTGGATTTCATTTGATTATTTGCATTAACTTATTATCTTATACAACATATATCAATTCGTGTTTCTCAAGTTTGGACGAACTGGCAACCAATTTTGAGAGTTAAGATTATTTGATAAAGATACTTGATTGCTGGATAAATATGTTTATCCCAATTGACTATCTTACTAAAAATCGTCAACCTTTATTTGGTAAATTTATAGGTTAGTAGTTGATGATACGTGATGTTTATCGTAGATTCTCAACAAAGATTCTCTAACCTTCACATATGTTATTTTTCAAAGAATCTTGTGTCTCATCCTAGGGTATGAAGTTAAGTTCGTCAACAATCATACTTAAGTCATTTTGAAATTTTGATTTATAATCGTCGAGAATAACTCCAAGTCTGAAAGAAAATTTCTTAGCATACGACTTAGAACCTCAATAGAGCTTGGTCAATCAACATGATATAGAGCAAATATTATTAATGTGAACTTAGGACACATTATAAAATTATTGCACATGCGATTCCTCTTCATTTGAGAAGTTTAAGGTATAACATGATCTGAATGAATAAGAAGTCTTTTTAAAATAAATAACTGTAATTACTCAATCAAGATTATACTCTGACATTTTGCTAAATAATACTTGTTTTATTTTATAGACATAATTTGCGAATAAGAGAGTGTTTCATTGCAACAAAATGTAAAGTAATATAGTTTATTTTTCAAAGGTAATTGAATGTCAAATTTTTATTTTCTCTCTTTTCATATATATAAAACATTGTTTTTTATGTGTATTTTTTTAAATTTTTCATCAAAATGTAAATTATCATTCAATTTTAGAAAAAATAGTAAAAAATTTACTTCATAAGGTTTAATCAAATATTTTTTATTTAAACAAATGTTGTATATGTCACTCTCTATTTTCTTATTTATATTTTATTTACTGGTTTAAAAATTATTTTTTATATGTGTTTGGTTAAGTTTATCAACATGTAACTTATTATTATAAAAAAAAGAAAATATTATACAAGAGAGAGGTAGCTCTATAAATACATTAATAATTAATTTTTTTGCTTGTAGAAAAGTTATCCAACTTGGCAAATTTTGTATCCTCCAAGTGCTTATATAGCAAGAGGTTGCTTTTGAATTACCCAATATATATAAAGTAAAGTAATAATATAATTTATTTTTCAAAGGTAATTGAATATTAAATGTTTGTTTTTTCACTTTTCATATATATTTTATTTAATCGATAAAAAAGTTTTTTTATGTGTATGTTTGTTTAATTTTGTCATCAAAATGTAAATTATCATTCAATTTTAGAAAAAAATAGTAGAAAATTTTCTTCATCAGGTTTAATCGGATATTTTTTATTTAAACAAATGTGGTATATGTCACTCTCTATTTTTTTATTTATATTTTTTTACTGAACAAAAATTATTATTATTTATGTGTGTTTTGTTAATTTTATCAACATGTAATTTATTATTAAAGCAAAAATAAAAGCATAAATGGATAAATGAAAAGATTAATTTGATAAAATAAATGGAAATATTAAAGAAGAGAGAGGTAGCTCCATAAATACATTAATAACTGAATTTTTTGTTTGTAAAAAAGTTATCCAACTTGACAAATTGTGGATTCTCCAAGTGCTTATGTGACAAGAGATTGCTTTTGAGTTGACATAATATATATTAACATTACATTTGAAATACACCTAACTAAACACACCCTAAAGTATTCATAATCAAAATAATTTATATTCGAGAAAAAAATGACATACCTAATTTCTACTTTTGATTCTGCCACTGCGAAGAAGTACTCTGCCATTCCGATGCAGAACAGGGCTTCTCGGTTGCCACTCTCCACGCACTGTTGGAGGAAAGACCAGGAATTGCGGTGGTTGATGGAGGAGAACTTGTCCAGGATGGCAGCATGTTCTAGTACAATGCGGTGTGAGGAAGCTGCGAACATGCACTTACAGGCTCGCCTGGCGTTGAAGAGATTGGATATGGAGGTGGAGGCGACATGGGAGAGGACCCTTGCCAAAAGGTCTTGAGGGAGGTTGGTCAGGTGTTGATGATGACGAGGAGGTGGTCTTCCCCTGCTGCTACGTTTCCTCCTCTTTCTCTTTGTTGTGTGCTTCAGTGCCATGGTGGCTCTGCATGTTTGCGGAAAAAATGAAAGAATTAATGAGAAAGAAGACTGGAATATAAGAGGAAGAGGTATGCGAATTGGGAAGAATGGAAATCCTTTTCCTAACTGGATTCTTACTTTTCGTGTCCAATAAGTGATGCAAAATCTCAAATGTTCGAACATTTGCGCAGGAAAAATACATTTTCATTTTTATCTATAAAATAATATATTTTGGGGAAAATAATTACGGACTATCTGTTACCGCCATATACCTATTTTATTTTAATTCCAATTTTCAAAAATAATATTGCACATAAGGAACTGTGATATACAAAAAAAATTATGTTAATTCTCGATATAGTTCCCAGGATAATTTTGGAACCAACTATACCGCTCTCCACCATAGCGGTAGATGATGGTAGACGTTGGTAGACCGTTAATATATTTCTACCAATCATGTATACAATAATTATATATTATGCTATATTTCTACCACCATGACACCATGACATATTGTACTAAAAAAATCTCGATTAATATTTTTTTTCTCGAAAATATATCAAAAAGGATTTCACTTTTTAAAGCATAATTAATCTAATTTTTATATTAAAAATAATTGAGTTAAAAAGATTGAGATATAAATTTTTGTGCTTTAACTCGAGAATAACTATGCATGAGATGGTTACTCGCCTAATCTGCTCTCCAATAAGCCTAATCTGTTAAAATGATTCTCTAACTTTTGTCCTAAACATGGAGAAGTTAGAAATTTAGGTAAACAAATTTGTTGGTTCAGCCCAAACGCTCCTACATTAGATCGTAAAAAATGAGGATTTGAAGCAGAGCGTAGAAAATTCAAGAATTTATTTTTGGGAGCTCAGATTTTGTGCAGAAGAGTGCGATTTGGAAAACAATTATTTCGTTTATTTTCGCGTCATACAATAAATATAGCCAACTGTCCCCCAAGAGAAGAGGAAACAAGAAAGAAAAGAAGACACACCCCTTATGCAGGAAAGAGCAACAACACTCTATAAAGATCAACGAAAATCTGAATCAAAGAAGAAAATAGAAGGCAAACCAACTCAGACTAATAAGAAAAATATTGAATTCAACTGAAAGCGGTAGAAGAACCAATTGAATATCCTTCTTATTTCCTTGCGATTAATACTCCAAATTCAAGGCTTCTCCTTTTCTTTTTCTTCTTCACATATGATTTTCAATTTTTATAGGTGAGAGAGAAAGAATAGAACAGAGAATGATAGAGACTTTTGTACACTAAAAGAAAAAAAATGCGACGAGGAGAGAAAATATACTTACAAATTACATTTTAAATGGAAAAAGCGTTTCAAAATGAAATTTATTTATAAAAAAGGAAAGACATTTAACATATTTTTTAGAATAAGGTATTTAATATATGAATTGACACTTTTCATGAATGTGCTCATTAGTATTACTATTTTTTAAATTATATTAACAACAAATTTACAAAAATAACATAATTAATTAATTTTAATATAATATCACACCTCATCTTGGGCCGGAACTTTGGTACATTTATTTGGGACATACCGAATATCATCAAACTTTTAATGTAATATTATTGAATATAACGTTGTTTAATAGGCGGTGATACCTGATTGGCTCAAAATCTATAGTTGTATAAATAATATCAAGAGAACAAGCACGTAGGAAAAAGCCATGATAGGTGGGTAATCCCTTCTGTTATGTGCAAGGTTGTTAAACCGGGTTAAGTCATTGAGCCGGTCAAGTAAGGTTTTGAGGTTTATTGGTCTGATCGGGCTTCGGTCGGTTAACCGTTTATACGTACTAAATATATATATACAAATAAGGTAGTAATTAAAAATTAACCACTGAAATGAAATTTATCTTGCACGTATCTATTAAAAACTTATTCCTCACAAAATAAAACCTACTTAACCTACATGATTCACCCACCATCTTCCTTCCTTCTTTCCGCCTCCTCCCTTTCTTCTCTCTTCTTCTCCCTCTTTATGGGTCACACCGGGGGGCTTTCTAGAGGTCGTTTTGAAGCTCAACTTAGGTCGGACCGTGTTCAATTGGGTGCCCGATAGGGGGTTTAACAACCTTGGTTATGAGTGAATCTTGTAGGGTTTTTTTTCTTAGGTTTTCCGAGTAAAGAGGTAACACTGGTAGCAACTGATATGGGAAAATGGAGGGAAGGGGGCGTTCTGTTGGAAAATTGTGGTTGTCGATCGAGTTGCTTTCAAATTCGTTTAAAAGTTGTTAATTATACTTTTAGGGATTAGGATTGATTTTTAGGTATTCAAAAAGTGGACACTCTCATTAGTCGTTTCTCAGCCTCCAATCCACCGAATCAAAGATCGTTAAGGGGAAAAAATGACATCACCATATCATCTCTTATCCTTGTCCCTGCCTTAACTTTAGGCAAACTCAAGGCCGATGTTATCATAATCGAACCGGATTATGAACTGTTCTAGCTTACAGTTCATACTTTTTTTTATCGGTATTAAACAGTTGAAAAATCATTAACAAACTGATGTTTGATAAATAAGAATAAAATAATCTCAATACAAACCATAATTACAAATATAATACATCTTTCTTAAACAAATATACATTAATATTATAGTTCTAAAATTCAAACTCTAAAAATTAATTCAAATATATTCTACCAAATTATTATATAACTATGTATAGCAAGTAGAAACCTATAATTTTATAAAAATGGAAATTAATATAAGTGATTTTTTTTGGAAATAGAGATAATTTAATAACAATAAGTAAAACTACGAGATTTTAAATTTGTATAATCAAATATATCATTTATGATTTATAATAAAAACAGTGTAGTCAAAATCGCGCTTTAAAGCGTAAAATCGTACGATTTTACGTTTCTAGGGTAGGAAAACGTTTCAAATCACCAATTAAATCGTTTTTTATTCAAAATCGGTCAAAATCGTGGTAAAATCGTTGAAATCGGTAAAATCGGATAAAAACACGTTTTTAGACCGTTTTTGTATGATTCCAAGCAAAGGAGCAAAACTGTCTCCTCTCACCAAAACGACGTCGTTTTTATTTTGAAAAAAAAACTGCCAAAACTCAAAAGGGAGAAGGGCTGTGCTGAACGTCATTTTTTATTTTGAAAAAAAAAAAGGTCGGGCTGCCAAAAGAGAGAAGGGCTCAGCTGAACCCTAATTCATCTCCATCTATCTCCTCTAGCGCCGCAGGGCTCTCCCACTCCACCCTTCTCGTCATCGGCCGTCGCCTGTCAACAATCGCCCAGCCGCCGCCCTTCGCCAATCGCCTGGCCTCCTCCCGTCGCCAAGCTGCCGTCCCGCCGCTACCCCTCAGCGCCTCGTCGCCCGCGGCACTAATCGTCGCGCGTAGCTCGTCGGGCGGTGCTCTTCGCCGTCAGTTGTAGCTGGTGGTCGTCGCCCTCTCGCCCGTAGCAAGCCTCCAGGTATAAACTATAATTCTGTCTTTGTGTTTATAATTTTTCCGTGTAGGATTTGATTTAGAAGTTGAGATTTTGTGTTTGTAATTTTTATGTTTATAATTCAGAAGTTGAGATTTTGTGATTTACAACAATTATTCTTTGTTTTATGTAGGATTGGCAATTTCAATTATGTCGAGTGGGGGTACTAGTGCAAGCAATACTGTATCCAATCTTTTCATCACATCATTCATTCTTTTTACATGTGAATATGTGGGGATGTGAACTCTTTTACTTGTAGATTCATACTAAGAAAAAGAACCATTTGCGTGCACAAAAGATTAATGATCTTGTGTATGTTATGTGCAAGTATAGGTGTCAATCGGGCGGGTTCGGGCTGGGTTCAAACGGGTTGCGGGTTCATCGGGTTCGGGTTCAAACGGGTTGGGGGTTAGTCGGGTTGCGGTTCATCGGGTTCGGGTTCAAACGGGTTGCGGGTTAGTCGGGTTGCGGGTTCATCGGGTTTTGGGTCGGGCGGGTTGCGGGCGGGTCGGGTTTCGGGTTGTTCGGGCCAGCGCATCAAGTAACTTAACTCATTACTCATTACCAACTTACACATTTTTTTTACACTAATTTAAAATATTTTCTCAACTTTTTAACCAATTTATTTCTACCTCGTATATATATACTTTATTTTTTTGAAAAAAACTAGTCAAAATTTTAAATCAATTTGTATGACTTGCAAACTTGTTATGTAATTAATCATAATTGGTAAAGTATTATAGCTAATAGTAATGGTGATATCAATATTTGCAACCAAAAGATACCGTTAATTGTTTATTTGATATTTTAGTATTAATTCAGTAGTAATTGAATTAAAGTATCTCGTTTAGTATAACCATGCAAATCTGGTATTTGGCGTGTGGAAATTGGCAAAAGAATAGTGATAAAAGGAGTTATTTCAAAATAACTCATTGCCCAAATAACTTCAGTAAACTGTTGCCAAACGAGTTATTTGTAAAATTGTTCGAATTATCCTAAAAATTGAACCATTAAAGATTAGCTATCAAATTTAGTAAAGTTATTGTGACTTCAATCATAACTTACTCAATAACATATATCCTATACACTTAGTCTTACCCTCAATCAACAATATTAAGTTAGTATATGTTGTTGATTGTATACCCTAAACCATCAATACATTATACACTAACCACATAACCTATACCCTAATCATATGTCCTTGAGTTGTGATTTTGCTAGTATAGTTAATTTAAAAGTGAAATTCATACTTTGATTTTCAAAACATAGATAAAAAGTGATATTTGCTAATTGTTATACCCTAACCATATATCTTATACTTTACACCACATACCTTGTACCCTAACCACGTACCATAAACATAAATTAAAAAGGGATCTCCTGCCGTTAAAGACTTCAAATGACTTCAAGTGAACATATGTTAATAAAAAACTTACAACCGTTAAAACCATCAATATCTTATACCCTAACCATATACACCCTAAACCATATGTACCTTATACCCTAACCATATACTTTATATCATAAACAACGAACCGTCAAAAATTACTTATCAAGTTTAGTATAAATTGTTATAACTAATGGTTAATTCATTTATTAGCCCATAAACAATTACATACATATATACATATTAGCCTTCAAAGCATATAAGAATAATTTTAACTAGTCATGCCCTCCATATAAAAGTTAAAGATTCATATTTCAAAAGCTAAAATTATGAAAAACCAAAAAATTGAAAACACCAAATTTGTTTCCTTCTTTCTTTTCACAAAATACTAAAATTTTCCTCCTTTCTCCTTCCATACATTAGAAAAACTCAATTTTCCCACCTCTTTCTCTTCCATAAAATTGAAAGAAACAAATTACCTTCTTCTTTCCTTCTACAAAAAGTTGAAAAGTCAAAAGTTTCCCTCCTTATTTCTCTTTCATAATAAAAAAATCAAACTTTCCCACTTCTTTCTCTTCCCACATATCAAAACCACAAAAATCCCCACTTGTTTCTTTTCTAAAAAAATTCCAAGAACCAAATTTCCCTCTTCTTTCTCTTCCCAAAAACTTGAATACACCAAAATTTCCCTTTTCTTTTAAAAACATCAAATTACCAAATACATTACTTTACTTTATTTATATTTAATTGATAATTTTATTGAATAGTTAAATTAACCAAAATTTTAATTTATATATTATATTAATATTGTCATGATCTCAAGTGACCTTCATGTTTCAATTTTGGTAATTTTCTTAACATACATAATATCAAGTGAGTTTCATATTTTTTAAATTTCTTATACGAAATGAAAAAATAATTTTACTTAAGTTTAGAATGAAAAACTTTATTTTGAAAAACTATGTATTGTATATTTTTATAATTATTCAAGTGGATTAGATGAAATTCGGGTTGAGTCGGTCGGGTTACGGGTCAATCGGGTTCGGGTTAATCGGGTTACGGGTCAGTCGGGTTGCGGGTCAATCGGGTTTGGGTTAATCGGGTTGCGGGTCAATCGGGTTGCGGGTTAGTTGGGTTGCGGGTCAATCGGGTTGCGGGTCGGGCGGGTTACGGGTTGTTGACTTATAGTCAATTCGGGTTGCGGTCGGGTTGCGGGTCGGGTTGATCGGGCGGGTTAATCGGATCGGGCTATGTTTTGACACCTATATGTGCAACAACAAATTGGTGGGCGGGAATGCCAAGAAAGCAAGAAGGCTTGAGATTGACTTTGAGGATATAAATTCTGATAATGAATGGATTTGTGCTAGTGATAATGAAGAAGGAGAACCACAATCTACAGATTTAGAGGTTGGTGGTGAGGAAGGTGGTCATACTATTGAAGGTGGTGATGATGCTATTGGTGTTGATGCTCGAAGAGATGAGGGTGATCATGAATATAGTAGTCCACTTGATGTTGATGGCAATGGTGGTGATGATGATAATGATGATGATTTGGATGCAAATGTGGAAGCCGATGAATTGATGTAGTTTTCCTTCTATCCTTTGTAACATTTGTGTGCTTTGATTGTGAGGACTTGGATTATTAAACTCATATGTCATTATGTAAACTTAAACCAGCTTGTGAGAATTTGGATTCTTAACTCGTTTGTGGCTTACAATTTATGTTTATGACCTTATTATTAAGATGTTATGAGTTTGTTCTAATTTAGACATGAATTGCAGGTATTTTTTCTTTGGTTTAATACACTTGTATATCCAAAACTTTCACGGTTGTGCCAATAATATCCAAATTTTTCGAAATACCACTTATATCCATGTTTTAAAGTTGTTCTTTGCCAAATCTATCCATTTCCCAAAATATTTTTGGTTAAATACACTTGTATATCCAAAAACACCGTTAAAGAATGTGAAGGAATTGGATATAAGTGGTATTTCGGGAAATTTGGATATTATTGGCACAACCGTGAAAGTTTTGGATATACAAGTGTATTTAACCTTTTTCTTTTATCTAAACTCTGTGAACTCATATTTTACATAGTTTATGCCATACTTAACAGATTATTTTAACTATTATACAGGATGCATCAAAAACTTACGCTTTTACGCTTTGATGCGCCGCTTTTCAATTTTACCCCTTTTCCGCTTTTAGGTAGAATCGCGCTTTTAACTGCATTGATAAAAAGTGGATTGCATTAGGTTGCATAAAAATAATGGTAGGCTAGTTGGTAATTAAAGAGTTTGGTGATCAATCAATAAATGATGATGATGAGTTAAAACTTGTAAATTGGGTGTAGTAGAGAGAGAGTAGAGAGAGAGTGCGATCTTGGTGACTGAGGGTTTCTGTGCGTTTTCTCGTTGCCGGCTCCGGCATCTGCGCTGGAGCAGCTCTTCTCTTCCCCCTCTTATTCTGTTCTTATGAGTGACAAGAGTGCTGCGGTTTCATCACCAGCTTCAGAGGGACTGGGTAGCGATCCCCGGGGGATCCCGACGAAACCCTGGGCCTCGCTATTCGGGATCTCTGAAGCCAACCGCCTCAAATACATTCCGCCTGAAGTTGTCAATGGAGGATTACGAATGCCAAAAGCGGTTCGGGAGGCGGGGGCGGCTAGTTGGAAGAATTGTCTTGTCGGTCAATTTCTTCAGGATCCACCGCCGCTGTATGTTCTGCGTCGATGGGTTAATAAACTTTGGGGTCGGGATGGTCTGGTGAGGGTTTCTCTGTTATAAGATAAGATGCTACTTATTCAATTGCCTAATCAAAAGGTATGTGAATGGATACTGGAGAATGGCCCATGGTTTTGATTTAACAATCTGCTCTATCTTCGACCTTGGGTGCCTGGTATCAGTGTTGAGGAATTGGGTAGGAAAGCCTTGCCGATTTGGGTTAATTTGGCAAATGTTCCCTTGGAATACAACGATTTCCAAGGATTAAGTAGAATAGCAAGCTGGATTGGAGTACCGCTGGGAATGGATCACACTACTCGAATGGGGGATAGGCATGGTTTTGCTAAGGTGCTGGTGGAACTTACAGTGGACAGCGAGTGTCTTGATCATATTCTTCTGTGGCCTGATGATGATTCGTCCATTCGGATTGGGGTCACTTATTGTAACCTGCCTCCAGTTTGCCAGGTATGTCATCTATTTGGGACCTCTGGATCATGCTCTGAGCATCAGGGTAAGAAATGGGTGGCTAAGCCAGCTCAAGTGAAGCAGTTAGAAAATTCTGAGAATCAAGATGTTCGAATTGAGGAGAGGGCTCAGGATACAACAGCTGAGGTGCAAGCTACTAATGAGAAAGGTAAAGAGGTGGTGGTGTATGATGATGATCCGCCTGACAGCCATATTTACTAGCCCTGTGGTGATGGGTGGGGGTCTGATTGCTCCTCAGAATCTTGAGAAGTCTTTTCAAGAGGTGGCCACTTCATCCTCGCCTAAACTACCATTGGAAGATGAATTTCAGAGAGTGGTGAATGGCGCTAAGCCTCGGTTCTGGCTATCCCAGGAGAATTCGAAGGGCATTCTTGTCTCAAACTCATCATTCAGTGTGTTGGGGAAAATTGGTGATAAGGAAGAAGGTAAAATTCAAGATGCTCCAAAAAAGAAGGAAATAAAAAAGGATGTGAAGGTTTCTCTAGCATTGCACGACCCATGACATAGCTATTGCAGAAGGGGAAGGCATTTGTTTGGGACGAGAAGTGTCAAACGGCATTTGAGTTGCTGAAGAAGAAGCTGACCTCAGCACTGGTGCTGGCACTACCAACCAGTGGTGGAGAGTATTCCATCTATAGAGATGCTTCCTACCAAGGCTTGGGTTGTGTACTGATGCAGGATAAGAAGGTGATTGCCTATGCCTCGAGGCAGCTACGACCCCATGAGGTTAACTACCCCACCCATGACCTAGAGTTGGCCGCAGTGGTCTTTGCCTTGAAGTTATGGAGACACTATCTCTACGGCGAGACGTTCACCATCTTCACGGATCACAAGAGCCTCCAACACCTGATTGATCAGAAGGAGTTGAACAAGAGGCAGAGAAGGTGGATGGAGCTGTTGAGCGATTATGACTGCACCATTAAGTACCATCCGGAAAGTCAAATGTGGTGGCTGACGCCTTGAGAAGGAAAAGGGAGAGCCCTTTTACAGGAGTTGGTCTCTTTGAGGGCCATGAACGTGGAATTGGAGCTAGAGGAGGTGACAAAGTTTTTAGCAACTTTGAAAATTTGTCCTATGCTGCAGGAACGAATCAAGGAGAAGCAGAGTGAAGATTTGGAATTGGAGAAGTACAAGAAGCGAGTGTTAGAAGGGAAGGACACCAAATTTGAACTGGTAGATAGGGTAATAATATATCGAGGAAGGCTGTGTGTCTCAGATGTCGACAAGCTGAGGAAGGATATTCTAGATGAGGCTCACTCTGCACCCTATGCGATGCACCCTGGGGCTACTGAGATGTATCATACCCTTAAGGAGCATTTCTGGTGGCAAGGTTGAAGAAGGAGGTAGTTGCACATGTCTACCAATGCTTGGAGTTCCAAATGATAAAGGCTGAACATCAAGCTCCAGTCATTGAGCACCTACTGTTGGAGATCCCGTTGTGGACTTGGGAGAAGATCACCATGGATTTTGTATATGGTTTACCTAGGACCCCAAGGGGAAATGATGGAGAATGGGTGATTGTGGATCGCTTCTGAAAGGTGGCTCATTTTATACCCATCAAGTTCAAGCAAGGGTTGGAGGAGTTGGCTAGGCTGTATGTGAGGGAGATAGTGAGATTGCATGGAGTTCCACTTAGTATTGTGTCTGATCGCGACCCTAGCTTCACGACACGATTCTGGGTGAGTCTTCAAAGGGAAATGGGCACTAACGTTCACTTCTCTACCACATACCACCCCAGACGGATGGGCAGTCAGAGACAGTGGTGGATTCAGAAAATTTTCACAAGGGTGTCCTCTTCAAAAATTAAATTTAATTATATAATAAATTAAATAATTCGTATATTACAAATATCATACTTGTATAATTTGTATAAATATTTTATTAAATAATAAATTCATATTCATATTTTGAAAAAAAAATATAAATAAACTCCGTGTCTGCACTGTTCAAAAAAAATCTACATATCCTACTAGACAATACTTCACGAACTTATCACATATTCGATTTATAACCTTGTTCTTAATGTAGCTCAAAGTAGAAAAGACTCTTTCAACACTTGCCGTGTAACCATAAAATCAATTCAAAATTAAGGGTAGCGTGTACATAGTTTAATTATTAGGTATTGAAAATAGTTGGGGATAAAGAAATAGCGTTTTACTGTTGCATGATGTTTAAAATAGAATAACAAATGAGTAGCAACATAATTAGAATATGTTTGATAATAGTAGTGTCCTACGTTGGAATAACACGGACTACCACTTATATTTTGTTAATCATAAGCAAACTATTATCGAGGGTAGGATAATCATTTTTTCAAATGTTAGGGTGTCCCGGATTACCAATTATATTTTGTATACCCATACGAAACTACAACCGGAGGTTGGATAATCGTTTCCCCAAATCTTAGGGGTGTCCTAGGACACCCCTGGAGGCCCATGTATCCGCCCTTGGTCAGAGAAGATGATTCAGACACTGAGGACCTGCTGAGGGCGTGTGTTTTAACCATGGTAGGAGCTTGGGACGAGCATTTGCCTCTAATGGAGTTTGCTTACAACAACCAGTATCACAGCTCGATACAAGGAGCTCCATATGAGGTATTATATGGGAGGAAGTGGCGTAAACCATTGTACTGGGATGAAGAGGACGTGCTACAGCTAGAGGGTCCAGAGATGGTACAGAAGGCAGTGGAGAAGGTGGAGATGATTTGCCGGAACTTGAAGGTAGCTCAGGACTGGCAGAAGAGTAATGCTGAGAGGCCAGGGAACCCACGAAGTTATGAAGTGGGTGATATGGTATTCCTAAGGGTGTCCCCTTGGAAGGGAGTGATGAGATTTGGTAAGAAGGGAAAGCTTAGTCCGAGGTATATCGGTCCATATGAGGTGTTGGAGCTCGTTGGACCCTTAGTCTATCGACTAGCCTTACCTCCTAGCCTATCTAGGATTCACAACATTTTCCACGTCAGCATGCTAAGGGCGTATCGATCCAACCCAGCGCATGTGATCAAGCATGAGGACATCTAGTTGGAGGATGATTTGACCTATCAGGAGGTCCTAGTCCAAATTGTGGATAAGCAGGAAAAGGAGTTGAGGAGGAAGATGATTTCCATGGTAAAGGTGGTATGGAGAAACCAGGGCAGCGAGGCTGCGACTTGGGAGACAGAGAGTAGCATGAGAGAGAAGTACCCATAGTTGTTTAATGGCGTGTAGATCGGTAGTTGGCGAACTTTTGTGTACTCTCACTTTTAGTTCTCTTTTTAGTTCCCATTTCTCAATTTTTCAATAATAAGACCTGTTGGTTCAGTACGGTTTCATGATAGCTAGCAACCCAGTTCAACTTGCAATTTTAAGGTCGAAATTTCTTAAGGGAGAGGGAAATGTCATATCTCAACTAGCGTCATCCCTTCAACAACAACGTTACATTGTAAAAGGGACTATAATATCTAGGGATGGCAACAAAACCCGAAGCCACGGGTACCCACCCGACCCAACCCGGTCAACGCGGGTAAAACCCGTGTTGACGGGTTTTGGGCCGGGTCCGGGTTTAAACCCGCTACACTATTCACCAGGTCGGTTGGGTTTAGGTAAACCCGCCCCATGGGTACCCGCCCACACACATATAATTACTTTCCCGGTATATTTAATATTCTA